GTGGTGGTGGTGGTGGTGGTGGTGGTGGTGGTGATGACGATGACGACGATGATGATGAGGTTGAGAAATCACAAATCAAGATCAAAATATCAGATTTGGACTTCTTCGCGGACCCTTTGAGTCCTGGAATCGTCTTGAGAGCTTGGACGTTCGAGTCCAAGTTGAACATTCATGTGGTTTGGAACGGTTCTTATCATGATGACCTTCAAATGAGGGAGTTTATGAAGAATATCGAAGAGACCTTGACGGAGGAATTGGGGGTTGACATGTCGAATGAGAGGGTGGTTGTTGAAGAAAAGGAGTTTTGAGCCATACTCGGTCCGGGTTCTACTCGTGGCAAATTCCAGTAGGGTGTGGTGTTTTTATATAGACGCGGTTTGTTTTTGTTTTTGTGTTTGGGAAATTCGAAATTCGAAATCTCAAGGCGACAATTTCAATTTTTTGTTTTCCAAAACAAAAACAACAATGACCGGCGATTACACACAAAACACCAACTCTGTACTATGTAACTAGTCCATAATATGGCACTATCACAATCAAAAATCAACAATCAAAATTGAATATGGAGTAGCAGTGATGGCGAAAGCCCCGGTAGAGAGGAGTTGAAGAAAACAATAGACGCCACAGGACGAAGCCACGGACAGCCTGGTCTCAGCCTCGCCCAATGTACGGAGTATACTTGAAATTAATACGGGACACTCCGTACCTATTACTTCCGTGCTCCGTACAGGTCGGTAATACCTAATTTCAAAGGGGGAAATGAACCCCCCGATCAATATCATGTACTCCGTACCGCCAAAAAAAAATAAAAAAACTACGGCAAGGAGTAACTATATTACTGCCACAAACAAGAAAGATGATTCATATTCATAAAATGGGGGAACGGAGTAATCTCTACTAAGTAAGGTACACCCCTCGCATGTACTCTCTCGGTACACTCACCACCACAAAAAAACAGTCACTTCTCTGCGAGTCTTTATGTGTGTGTGTGTGTTGCGTCGACTGTAACTTGAATGACCGAGTAATCATAGGTGTACTACTACTACTACCACCACCACCATTAGGTAGGTAGGTGATGGAAATTTGAGGCTCAAAACACCTCCGTACGGATACTTGACTCCTTATTACGGCAACGTCGAGTTTTGTCACAATTTCTATGAGGAGGAGGGAGGCGGCGGCGGCGGCACGGGGTGCACAAGCCCCAATTTCCTACTTGTACTGTACTTACGGGGTACCTAAACACCCACAGTATAATCTACCCAGGTACTCCGTACCCAAGGGTAATCAAAACAAAATATCCTCCGTAATAGTCCGTAGAGAAAGAAGAAAAAAAGAAATTGCCCACAGTATTTTTGCCATCTTCACAAGTTCACTACTTTCCCATCAAACAAAAAAACAATCACCCCCCCCCGCGCCGCCGCCACCACGACTTCACAATCTCATCTCACCATGGAAACTACTTGGGTAGTTAAATTGTTTGTGTATCCATATCTTCATACTCCATCTTTAATCATATTAAAATCACCATCGAAAACAAAATAGAAGCCGGAAAATGAAAGATATAACGTGTACCATTTTCCCTCCCACTCGCCTCCCCTCTCCTTCTACATTCCCCCTTACCTTCACTACCACGACAGAGTAAAACAATCTCTTGGTTCCATTTCATGTATCCTGATTCTTCTACAGGAGTAGAAAAACTACCTTCCTACCAACCTACTAAATATCAATCAACCCGCTATGCCAATCCAACCCCACCACCACCACCACCAAGGAGAACAACAGCGACCCAAGGAGATGAAATGAAATAACCTATATCCCCTCCCATCACACGCCCACTCTCAAACTTCTCTCGACCATTTTGACGAACAAAAGCAGAAAAAAAGACAAGTCGCATCATTCCCAGTCTTGATCTTTGCTTTATCTTTGAATGGAAAAGGAATTACCAATCCTCACCCCCTTTGACGTGTCCCGTGCACTACCACAAGATTGCATCCTTTCCAAGGGGAGGAAAATGTCTTTGCGACTTATCACAATCGATGAGACCGCAGAAACAATCGGAGAGGAAATTTCTTTTTTTGATTTCCAATATCAAACAAAGTCCCCTTCTCACTTCCCCCTTCGATGCGTTTTTGTTTTAGGAAAAGAAAAAAGGAAACAAAAAGTTGTACTCGCCCCAAAAAACGTTCCACACCCTCTTGTGCAACATCTCAAAAATAATAGGCAAGAAAGAAAATTCCCTCTCTCAAATTGATACCCAGACCCCAAAAAACAAAAGAGTCGTTTCCGATGCATGACCGCGTAACTAGACAGAAACAAACAGAGAGAAACAAGAACAGAATTGACAGCTATCCACGCTATCAGACAGCAGGCAAACTCGGCCGCGCGTACTAACATGGAGATATCGATATCAATATATAACAGGAGATTTTGGCGCCGTCCGGACAGTGCTGAATGGAAATCGAGAAGGATTCCAGATTTTCGGCGGAATTCAACAAGATGGTGCAAGATTTAGATTTCTAGGGAAGGCATCAAGGTCATTCAAACTGTTACAGGAAGGGCTTTGTTCGTCAACTTTAGTGATGTAGACCAGCTTGCAGGCTGTTCGGATCGATGGTGCCAAACGGCGTCATTGGCATGTCCATGTGCTCCATCGGCGTGTGGAATTCCGACATGTCGTTCATCATCAACATGCCTTTCTCGTCAATCCCCGGACTTGGCATGGGCATGTTGAGATTCTGCTTCGAGTACATCTCGCCGAGCATCAATGTCTCGTCCATCATGCCACTGCCGTCATGGCCCATGTTGAACATGTCGGCCGAGGCGCTGCGGTGTAGTGCCGACAACGGAGGTGAGTGGTCCGCAATGACCGGATCCGGATGACCCATGTGAGGCATAGGAGAAACAGACGAAGGCATCATGTGACCATCGACCATGGGGGAAGGTGAGAGGAAGGGCATGTTGAATTGTTGGGGCGTTCCGAATTCAGAAGCAGGCATTGGTCCTTGGGACGTGTTGGACGGGAAGAAGCCAGGGCTGGCAAATTCTGACGGTGATGTGGCCGTTGCGGACATGGGCATCTGACGGAAATCCATCCCGTAACCAGCAGATGTATCAATCTGCAAGGTTGGGCCGATTGGAGTCTGCACAGGCTGCTGAGGCATTGGCTGGAAGAGATTGTGATGATCGGGCGTCATTTGAGGTGAGGGTTGCTGCACATGGAATGTAGGCATAGGTCCGTGAAGCATGGAGAAATCAAGTGCGATGGGTACCGATCGACTTCGTTGACGCTTGTGACCAGGATGCATACGACCAGGGTGAAGATGATGATTGACACCATATTGTTCCTGGAACATGCCGACATGAGGAGGATGGGGCCGCGCAAACTGGACTGAAGGTTGAGACGCGGGTCTGACAATGCCCATGGTGGGTGAGACTGGTGCAGACGCAGGCATAGCATTCATGTCGAATGGGTTATGTCGGTTCTGGAAAGACTCGAGGGAGACCAATTTAGCAAGCTGTCCGCTCAACACCTTCGGGTGACCTCCCAGGTGATGCGTCAAGATTTGAGAGGCTTGTTGATCTTCGGTAAAGTCACCACATTGGTAGAACCCTCCAGAGTTGGACGAGTCCATGAAGAAATTCGGGGGCCTGGTCAACTCAATGACAAGCCCGCCGGGCCGGGGTGGAGATCCATTGGCATTTGGAGCCGTGTCACCAGGTTCCAATTGAATGCTCTTGATGAAAGCGAATGGATATTCGATCTTGTATCCAGCCGAGTCGTTGTTGATGTAGTACGTGATGCAAGCCTTGTCGGGCGAGTAGAAAATGACGAGGTCCATCGCGTTCTGACCGACTCGTCGCCAGCTACCGATGCTCAGGGATCGACAGGTGAAGTGCTGGATGACTGTAGGCACGTCAGAAGTATGCTCGAAACCCTCGGGATCAGGAAAACTCACCAACTTTGCCTTGAGCATTAGGATCTCCGTTCATCAACATTCCACCGCCACCGTACTGAGCCATTGGGCCGCCCGGTCGGCGGAGGAGTTGACCAGGAAAAGGTCTGCCAGATTCCATGGCCTGCATGGCCAGCAGCTGTCTCAAGGATTCTGGGATGCTGTCACAGTCTTCACCACTCTCCAAGCTCTTCTTCGCAAGCATCTTGATCTTCGCTCGTCGACGACTAGACAAGATAAATTAGCCAAAAATACCACGTGCAATCACCGTTGAGACTACATACCTATTTTGGAACCAGATCTGCACCGAACGTTCCGTCATGTTGATCTCCGACGCGATGCGTTCTCGCGTAGCTGCGGTAGGAGTTGGGTTCTTTGTAAACTCGGCTTCTAGCGTCACAAGTTGATCCTGTGTAGCCCTCTGTCTCTTCTGGTTCTTTTGCTGTTGGGTCAGGGTACTCTTTCGAGGTGGTCGACGCGCTGAGTTGGGACCAGAAGTAGGAGCTGACGTGGCGCTGCTTGATGTCTGGGGTGGCGTGCTTGAAGTAGCCATGGGAGAAGGGGTTGACTCGGGAGAGAAGTCGGTGAGGTCGGAAGAGATGGGCTCCATTGCGTCCATCGTGTGTGTGCCCAATGTCGATCGAAGTTGTCTTTCAACGAGTGGAATGCTCAATGGCTATATACGAGACGAGATACAGGAATCGATATCCTTTCGTTCGTATTCGTGCGGGAGGGGAGTGAAGGGCTTCGATTCGCTGATCCAGGCAGTCGAATACGGAATTACTTCGATGTAGTTTTGTGTCGATGTTGTTGAAAAGGGGGGTTGTAGGTGGAATTGGTAAGGACCGTAGATAGTTGAAATGGGGTTGAAAACGCAAGTTGCCTAATGAATGTGGTCGAGGGCCTTGAAAGAGTGAAAGGCACGCTCGAGGCAGGGCAATTGAAGAAACAAGTGAAAAAAGAAAGAAGGTGTTGGACGGAGAGATGGAAAAAAGATGGAAATGTGGTTAAAGGGCGGCAGTGAGGATGGGAAGAAGAAGGGCAGAGGCGGGAACGAGGGCACAATAAGGGAGGTGCCTCACTAGCCGGGGGCGCGGTAGGAGGGAAAGATCAGAGTGAGCGAGACCCGCAGCAGGAGGCACGATGAGTGGGCAGGCGCCTGGCCTCTGGAGACTTTCAATGCAGGTACCGCCGAGCGAAGCCTAAAAGCCAAAGCACAAGCCCCAGGTGGAGGCCGATTTAGCCTGTTCCTAGCCGGCCATTTATGTCTCCTCGAATTCCCCTATGGGCGTTAGTGGGCGTTGAGGCTCCAATGCCTGGACAGCCCACCGGCCCTAAAGGAAGCTTGGATCTTAGGCCTGTTCCAGGAGTGCAGAAGAAAAGGCCTGGTGCGGCCCTTGTCTGACGCGCTCAGCCTTCAGGGAGTAGCAGTCAAAACACCCCATGTCACAACATGGATTCATCCTATCCGTCTCACCCACCGCGCGATCCAACAACAAAACATCCCTGACCGACCTTACGAATACGGAGTTTGCGTCAGGCCATGTGGGGAGCATACAGTAAAGAGGGCAAAAGGTCAACCGTTCCAGTGCACTTCTACGAGTACGGAGTATACACCGGGAGTAACGAACCTGTTACCATATACACTACATACAGTGCTCCGTAGAACCATAGACATGGATCTGGATACACAAGCTACCCTGGGAATTTGTCGCCTGTACCTCGTACCTCGACATCCTGCAGCTCAACGGGCACGCGTCCGAGACACTTGGTCCGTAAAGTCACGCTGACCTGCAGCCGCCCACCAGTGCACGACTAAAAAGCCACGACACTCCCACAAGGAGCTTGGGGCCATCTGCATCTGCATCTGTGCATCAATGCTTCAGAGATGTACAGGTAGACCATTCTGCGGCCTGGCTGAACCCCTCTCGTGCGCGCACATACACCTAGCCAGGTAGCTACCCCGTATTGTCTCGAGTTCTAACCGACCATCTACGAATGCTTCTGGAAGTCAGGCTGTGCAATGAGAATTCCTACACACCCTCTTTCTCTGTCCGAGTGAAAAGTGTTTGATCGTCTGTAATCTGCCCCAGTTACGATGGCACCAATGACGGGGGATGATCCTGTGCTTGTCCGCTCATGATAGATTCCACCAATTCTCTCATTCTCCTCAGAAGCAACGACTATTGGCTCGCTCCAGCAAGCAGCCATCAGTTCGCAAGTCATAACAAAAAATGACGGCGGCTATGGTTCGCCGCTGCACCTGCCATGAGCAGCTTCTAGGCGCCTTCAGTGGCTGCTCACGAAAAAGTTGGACGAGCGGCAAAATGCTCCGTACGTTGCAGAGAGCGATTTTTGAACGAGAGGCTTGGTTTGTCTCAACACATGTATTGGATATCTTGATAGCTTAAAAGTCTGCGGCGGTGGCAGAGATTCACCGCTCTTGATCCTTGTCTCACCATCACCTGTGCCTTTACAGCCACTTCATCGTCGGACGGAGCCCACTGATCCCGAACAGAAATAGGCAACCTGCATCAGGTGCCGTTGGCCATGTTGGGATACCTTACGGAGTAGAAGCTCATGCTGAGACGGTCGATTTCTCCTGAAGATCGAACCGAGTCATGCAAGTCATGGCGCTAAACATGTTTCCAGCTCCAGCAGAAAAAAGCATCTCGCCACTTTGCTGCGACACAGAGTTTAGCTGATCGAGAAAACGGGCACAGAACAGAAATGTTCATACAGTACGCGTTGCTCCGTACCAAGAAACACCGCTGCGTCACAGCTCAGCTCTCGCCAGCATTGTTCAGCAGAGGCTACTTTTTTTATGTGTCCATGGCATTCAAGACAGGTCTTTTGGCATCTGAGCACGAGGCAGCTCTCAGCCTTAGCGGCAGGGTGCACTACTCGGAAGTGGTCGAAGTGCTGATAGAGACAGATAGGGAGGTCTAGGTAAGGAGAGTGGACCGACCGCCACTGGGTCCTTTTTTGCGTGATGTGATGGGTCGGGCGAAAAATAGCAAGGTGGAGGATCAAGGTGTTGGAGGTAAACATCCAACTACTGTACAGCACAGTAGTCCACACAAGTGGTGTCTCTAGGCTTGACCGGGCGCTGGGACAAGGTATGCCCTGGGGGAGGTGTTGTGTGCTCGGTGTCGTGGAGAGTCATGTGTGGCACCTCGACGTCGAATCGAATTGCGACATAGGGACGGGAATCCGACGATGATGATGATGCTGATGCAGGAACCCATGTCTGTGGCTTGTTGTCTTCCCCCTGGCTCCCTGGATGCTCTAGTGCCAGGAACAGGTGGCTTCTGGTCAGGTACCGAGTCGCGACAATTGGTGTGTTGGAAGCGCCCACTTCACCTCGCGGACACGGGAGCTTTTCCTGTTATGTTTTAGTATGTTCTTGGCAAACCCAGGCCCGAGCACGACGCGTTCAAGGTCCATGAACCCATCGATTGACCATGGGTCTCGAGGGGGTGAAAAAGGGTCAGGGGTAGCTTGGTGGCGAACGATGGCCTTACTGTGATGTGTGAGTTTCGACCTCCTCGATTGTTACACATGTATTCCTCGTACAGTCCGGGTGTTGAGTAGATCTTTCAAAGCTCAAGTCTCTACAGTACATACCCATAAAATGCAAGGCTCTGCCCATATTTCAAGCCTCATCTCCGGGAGATGACCAACATATGTCACTCACTGTCATCGACACTGCAGTTGGATCTGACAAGCACATGCCAGAAATTTCCGACCTGTCATTTGAAACGAAGAACTCGGCTTGAATGGGCCGTTGGGACTAAAACTACGAGGATGAGCACGGGAGTACAGTATGGAGTAAGGTCAGTTGCCGGTGCTCCATCTTTCTTACCAGCCACTACGAAATACAACAAGGCAGCGTGGTGTTTCCTACCGGCACCCTCCTACTCGTACGACCTACTCCGTACGTGTCAGTACACTCCTACATACTTCGCACCAAAAGGATGACTTCATCGAATTTCGATCGACAGACACCGACATGGGCTGGCCTGCGACAAATCTCGATCACCTGTCGCTCACAATAAATTTGGTCTGACTGACTGACCTAATCGTCGCTTCTACGAGTGGTTCCGGAGTACAGAGTACATCGGCCTGATTATCATGCTTGCGAGCTTCGGTACGAGTAACGATTCCGAACAGCCAATACCTTCAGTTCATACTGTATGGTACTCCGTCCTCGCCAGTGGAGATATACGAGCCTCAACCTCCTTCCTCGTGGGCCATCAAACCGCGACTTTTTTCTTTCTTGTTCCCTTCAAAAAAAGGTCCAGGCTCAACCAGTGCCAAGTCCCCCCGTGGCCCGTTATCCCGTACGTCAACGCGCTCTCTCCCCAGTATAGGGGAACCATGTGGAGGCACGTGCTTTACTGTACGTCTTTCTACTACGAGTTACTGTACGAATTAATTACATTAGAAAAGCAAACCTATCACTACTTTTTTACTACCCCCTGGAGCCTCGCCTTGTCTCACTCGCCCCCCCCCCCCCCCCCCCCAAGATCCCAACCGGGAGCTTTTTTTCCCTGCTCGTGCTCGTATGTAGGACAGACTACCGAAGGAGTACTCGCACCGCCGTACTTGCACCTACGCGGTACCGAAGACAGGGAGAGTCAGCCCGCCTTGCTTGTTCCGAGTGTCCGAGTGTAGCCCTTGAACCCTGGTTTACCTGGGTCGGCGAGCTATTGACAACCTAGTATCTTGCACACTCAGTTACTCCGTATCGGTACGTTAGTAAAATCACGCTGCGGTAGCTAGTAATGCATGTTCCAAACTCTTTCACATCGTGCATTGGGACCGTTACTCGATGAAAATACAGTAACAGACAACTCCATTGCTCGGGGAAATTCCAAAGAATCTATGCTCCGGATACGTAGGTGTAGGGATAACATAGATATTCTTTTTTACGTCCATCTAATCACACAGAAAGTACTTCGCTGGTGGGGGGTATCTTCATTTTTCCGTATCCGTATCGCGTACAGTAAGTGAGTAACTCGTAGCTGACCAAAAGTCATTTCTTCAATCATGCTTTTTTTTATCGTAATTCCTGCATCGTCCCTTTGCGCACAGTGCCGAATCCTTTGCTAAAAAGTTCTCCAATGTCCAACGACTTGCGTGGAGTTTCTTCCATCTCCCGCCCTCCACCTCCTTCTGCCCCTTTCTGCAGAACCTGGTTGCCACCACTCTTCACCACCACCTGCGTCGTACTCGTACTCGAGACTTCCCTGACGAATGGTTTCCTCCGGTTCATATCACGTGGTCGGTCCAACAGCGCCTGCACTTGGGCCTCTCTTTCCGCTTGTTCGGCTTCGTCCCGGGCCAATTCCAGGCTGGACTTTTTCGTGCCTCGATCCCAGCCCTGTTGGAGGAGATCCGCGGCGGCTTCCTCGAAACGCTTCCGGACCTCTCGATCCTGTTCGAGCCTTTGGAATGTGTCGACGTCACTGGGCCAGATGGCCACTTTAATGGTCTTGATGATGATCTCCAAGAGACAAATCGACAGGATGACGAGCAACAACGTAAGCCACCACAAAAGGTTCCGGCCAAAGCGGTTTAGGAATCCGTGGTTGACGCTGTAAATCACATCTTGAGGATAAATTACTCCCAAGATAAGATTCCAGAGCCACCAACCACCCACCGACAAGAAGATGGCGAGGGCTGCCGCCGCCGACTTGTTGTGCAACTCGATAAATTGCAGCTTGAGTGAGATTATGACCACACACCCGCTAAACGCGATCGAACCCATGGCGTACAGTCCTTGATCTCGCGTAAAGATCGCCATACCATATATGCCATACACGATGAAATAGACAATGACGGCCTCACAAGCGGCGAGGCCTGCCCACCACACGTATAGCTTGAGATTAAAGCCTCTGTTTCTTTGGCCGATGTTGTACAGCTCGGGGACTGCTAAAAGCGTCGACGCAGCGAGATCCTTCTCGAACACACCCATGAAGATGACCGGAAGACTGGTGAACAGCGTATTGAACATGGACAAACTCCAAGGCTCGTACAGACTGGTCCCAGTATATCCATTCCATCGCTGGTAGACGGCTTGGATCAGGTAGAATAACATTTCCTTCCAGAAAGTGCCAAGAACATATTTGCAGATGCGAATGTAGTTCCACCTTCCATGGACCAAAACAAGCTTGAGCAGGAAGCGAAACTGGGCAATTGAGTAATCGGACGTCTTTGCAGCTTGCAAGCCTTCCTTGCCAGCAATGCCAATTCCGAGATGCGCTTCCTGAATCATCGCGATGTCGTTGGCACCATCCCCAATGGCGAGAGTTACCGAGCCCTTGACTTTGGTCCTGATGGTCTTGACTAGTGACGCTTTCTGACTAGGAGAGGCTCGACAACAAATGACAGAGTCTGCACGAATGGCCAGATCCGCGAAGAGCGCCATTGAAGCTCGATCAGCCTCGATGATGGTGAGAGTCTGGCCATCGACTACCAAGACTGAATGTGCCGTTCTCTCACCGTCAATTTCAGCGAAGCCGCTAGCCATCCGAGTGTAAAGGTCGCCGACTTCATGATCGAGTACTACTACCGTTGAGTAGTCTTTGATCAGTCTACACGAGTGTCCAATGTTGATGGCAGTTTCTCGCTTATCACCAGTGAGCATCCACAGCTTGATGCCAGCCCGTTCGAAATCGGTCAATGGCATCCGGAACACCTTTCTGGAGCTTGTCTTCAATAGCTGTTGCTCCAAGGAGTTCCAATTTCGTCTCCAAAAGTTCCGCGGCTTGTTCGATTTTGCTTTGGCGATCTACTATGCTGGTAGTAGCAGACGCGTATATTTCTCTCCATTTCTTATATTCATCGTCTGTTAGGAACCGGAAACCATAGAGTAATGTTCGCAGGCCTTCCGTGGCAAAGTCATCGACATGCTGAAAGCAACGTTCAAAAACAGCCTTGTCATTGATAACCAAGCTTTCTTCCACAAGTTCATCTACACCATCGAGTTGCATCGAAGGCCGTGGGCTCGTCTGTGAAGGATGCTGTGCTCTGCTGGCGAAGGTTTCAGAGGCCCGGGAGCCAAACTGGGCCGAGGGCCGCGGTGAATAGAATTGTGAGCTTCGGCGTGGCCGCGACATGCCTGGGTCAGCCTCTCTAGCTTTCAACCATTGGTCAATGCTCTCTCTCGCTGTGTGAGGTTTGTCAATGGTAACTCCACTGACGCGTGGCGAGACATCTGCAACATGTACAGAATTCGACCTGTGGCTCAATGCAACACTCTTTCGTCGAAGTGCCTCCTGAGCCTCAACACTCTTCCTTTGTGTCGCTCGCCTTTCTGCGGCTTGCACACTCGAACTCGCTAGATCGGCAAGACGAAGAAGTTTCCGGAGCGTACTGTCGGCGCCTTTGCTTATGAGACATATCCTTTGGTCTGGAAATCGTACAACAACTGACATGCGTTTCCTTGCACTGGAGAATTCAATGATATCCAGCACTTCGTAGGTCTCATACACGGGGTCCTCGTCATCATCGGCCGGGTAGGTCTTGACAGTAACTGTGTTTGATTGACGGTTCGTAACGATATACCCCATGTCTTGTGCTGCGGTAACCAATGCAAGCTCATCAGGCGATGCTGCTTGATATGTAATGCCGCCTGCATCATTCTTTTCCGGTATACATGTATGGCAAAGTGCCAACGAGAGGAGGAAAAATCTTGCTTTTCGTGCAAAGATAGTCTGAGGCCGGTGATGAATGTAATCCAGCAGATCTTGTGTCTTTCCAGTTTCCAAGAGCATATCGACACCATTCGAAGTCTTGTCATGCAAATTTCCATCCGGATACTCGACTTCAGCGGACGTAGCCTCCTTCTCGACCGCGATGGCAGTAGATGCAGCAGATTCGCGGGCGTTCCTTGCATGCAACTGCTTGCTCTTCCGTGCCGAGACCTCCTTCCCTTTCCCGCCACGCTTTTTATGTTTTAATTTCTCTCGACCTGCATCACCTGCCGCTTCCTCCTGTAGGTCAAGGTCATGCAGCCAAGCAGTGCCAGCTATACTCATTTTGCGGAATTTCATGGAATTGTTTGTCAAGGTTCCAGTCTTGTCAGAGAAGATATAGCTGACCTGCCCTAACTCTTCGTTGATGGTGGATGTATGGGCCTCCATAGGCGTATCGGTCTCTGGATCATACATGTCGATATCGTCCATCAAGAACATCTGCGCCACCTTCACAATCTCAAGAGACACATACAAGCTGAGAGGCAGCATGGTATTCAACATGATGATGAAGGAGGTCAAAATCTGCCCAAAAGGAACTCTGGCAGATTGGAGATACCAGGCATCATCTTCGGTGGTTTTCCGCCAGATCTGGTAAGCCACTGTCAATATGATCGCCATGAAAATGACAAGCGCCGCGACGACAATCACCACTCTATTCACCTTGGCTTGCAAAGCTGGGGCTTTGACCCTTGGGTTCTTGTTCGCATTCATGCGGATCTTGCACTCCTCACCAGAATAGATGACGAGGCCTATAGCAGAGGGGGTGTTGCGCAGAACGCTCCCGCGATATAAAATTTCGTTGTTGGTCAGTGGTAAGGTGCGTCCGTTGATGTCTAACCTGCCATCGAATTTGTAAAGATCGAGGTTGGGGTCTTCCACGACGAAGTCAGCACCGAGATTCGCAATTCCGTCAGTGTCTTGACATGCTGCACTTATGTCCGGGAGTGGCTTTTTTGACTTGAGATTGGTCTCACCATCCAGGCTCTTTGTTTCAACGTAAGCCGTACCAGAGCATTCGTCTGCGTGAAGAAGGACCATGTCGGCGGGAACAGGACTGTCTCTAGTGAGCAGCAAAATATCCCCGACTTGGACCTGATGCCATTTCTTTTCTTGCCACCCTAAGGACCCGGCTTCAAAGCCATCCTCTTGAGAGAAATTTCCAACGTTCAGGACTTTCGTCAAGCGTTCATTTTCCTCTTTGTCCAGGCGATGTCGGCGAACATCGTCGTACCCTTCCTTCGCCATGGAGATGGCAACAAAGATCAGGAGAGGTATTATAGTGGTGTATGTACCGGTTGTACTGAGCCCGGGAATCATTTGAAGTATAGAAACACAAAGAAAGTAGAAATTGGCCAATTTCCCAAACTGTGCGACGAGTTGGCGTGGCACGAAATTCCAAGGAGTGTAGCGACATGAGCGTATAAGATTGTCAATGTAGGGTTTCCCTGTCCGTTCATCAAGTGGCCGATCGATCTGTAAAACACTGACGCGCACATGTCTGCCGTCAACAGTGGGAGGGACTGTATGGGCTTTAGCAACCCTGTCTCGGGCTTGCTTGTAAGTATTCCGGACCTTTTGCCACAACGTTACGCGGGAGCTCTGTTTCGATAGCCAGCGACGGTATAGTGGTAACTCGAGGTTGGGATCTGACAGGCGGACCGGGCTCGTGGTCGCCGCCTTGCTCTCCTCTTCTGTTTCCTGGATTGTGATTGAAGTTGACTGAAGCCGTCCAGGCTCTTTTGCATTGCGCGAATCGGGAGAGGAATAGGACGATCCCAGCTCAAAAGAAGCTGCATTGTCCGAGTCTTGGCTTCGGATGTTCTGGGCGAAGAGCGACCGTCTGAGCGAGTAACCGCGATTGCGACCAGACGAAGGGGTTTTGAGAATTCCTGCGGGCTTCTGCGCCGAGAGAGAAGGATCATTTGGTTGCGCCTTACCCTCGACTTCACCTCTCGGGAATTCAACAGAGAACCGAACTCTGGACGTGCCGTTATGTATGATCCCAGCAGACTCTCCCTCGTTATCTGGATCCGCACGTGAACTCCCTGCATTGCCCTGCGCAGCGCTTGGTGAGTCTGGCGCATTCTTGCTAGGCTCTTGATCCCTGGGCGCATTCGGCGGGGTCTCAGTCATAGTGAGTCTCTCGCGAAAGGACAGGGCCGAGCGGCGATTCTTCAGGCCGGGTCTTCATTGGTAGGCCTTCGACAAAGATTGTTGCATTGCTCGATGCGCCCGGATTGGACTGAATAGTTTGTGGCAGGCAAAGGATGATAGACCTCGAAACACAAGCTGAACTTAAACGAAGGTGGGTAAGACAACAAACTTGAGAATCTAAGATGGCATAATGATAGAATGGCCAGAGAGAGTGAATCGATGTTTCAGGCGTCGCAGTCGTGGTCTTGGAAGAGTACGTAGGAGATGGTGGCAGTGCATTTGAAGATGTTGAACAAAGTGGGCTGCAACTCGTAAAGGTCTTGCAAGGCCTGGATCAAGGAACAAGGGGGGGTGACATCAGTCAATAGGCTCAACAGACTGGCCCCCGCCTTATGGGTAAAAAAGAGCCCCTAGACTTAGCCGAGTTAGCGGGCTCGTTTCCTTGTCCTTGTCCATGTCGACTGGGACAGGCCCCGAGAGAACCCCCGGCGGACCAATGGCCATTCCCCGTGATTCTCAGCCAACACGAGTTTTGGGCTCCAGGTGCCTAATTGAGCCCGAATCTTACGCAACCGAAGATCTCGTCGCCCGCCCCTCTTTGTCCCTTGTCGCCACGCGCAATTGTACTAGTGCCTAGAGAAGTAGCATGATGCGAAGCAGCAAATATAATATATGTATCTGTTATGGTGATGAGTACACGTGTACTCATAGGAACATTTGGGAATATTCAGCAAATGCCATCCGATAAGCACCTGAGGTCAGCATTTGAACCGCTGGTAGACAAAATCTGGGCAGCATCTTTGTGACTCCGACTTCGGCGAAATATATATAGTTTGTATTTTCTATCCTTCATCCTCAATCGCCGCCATGAATGCCTCCGGAAGTTAATACCTGCCACCTCTGTAACCAGGAATACGTTGCAGCGTATAACATGGTGTGATAACACTTCCGAGATAAATTTCCGGTTACATTCATCTGGAGACACACCCCAGCTGTTCAACACTGTAGCCCATGCGTTTTTCACTGTCTGGTCATATAGGCCTTTTAGGGAATTCTTGGACACTACTCTTCTCATTACCTAGCCTCACTCAGTATAACGGTTCTCTACCCAGATGGACAAGTGCAGCATTCCATGCATCGTATGCCGTTTGTCTCAAGGTATCCGCTTGCGCAGAACTGCTTGCATGACCTTGTTCTGCTAGAACCAGAGTGACACCCTGACTGGTCTCATTGTAGCGTGGCCAACGCGGCACTCCCTCGGCATTGGGGTCGAGAGAATACGCAAACGAGATCCATGCCCTCATCATGGTGGTTGATACTTTGATGTCTCCGGCGGTTGCGTCTCGTAGATTCGACACATCACCAAACACATAAGACAACTCGGCTCCGTGTTGAACGCCAACTCGCCTGGCGTATGCCACGCTTGACCCGGGAATCTCGTAACTGAGATTCATTTGAGACAGCGGAGGCTGCTGACAGAAAGAGTAACCCCATGCTCCGACGCGCTTGCTGGCAAGTTTGAGGAATGCACGTCGGGCAAGATGGAAATAGACGTCGCTGTATACACTGACGGCGGTCCAAAACATATGGTCCGCGGTAGGATCGGCGTTATATCCTTTTCCCAAGTCTATCGAGGGGAGGCTCTCGTAGACTTGGACCACTCCCTCAGCTAGTGAATCATTCAATAAGGGGCTGATGTATTGAATCAAGTCACTTCCGTTGGGTGGGTTGAACACGTCGGGCAGAAACACAGAGCCTTCGTCCAGATTGCCACCATGGATGATGGGAATAGGAGCCAATTCGTACTTGGACAATATTTCCGTGGCGTCTATGTCGAACCAGTCACCGTCAAGGGTGTACGTGGTGCCAAATTTACCCTCGACTAGTAAAGGCGAGAGTACTGATATGTCGACTTCTCGGAGACAGCTAACACTGTCCGATACCAGAGTACAGTTTGTTGCATTCAGTAGGCCCTGGTATGCCAACAAACCGGTGTCGGGAGCTTCTATGTATGGCGGTCCAAGCCCACCTGCGCTGCCAGACTGGGTGATCATGCCTTGAAATAGACTGTCGGTCTCATTCTGCAAATACGCGTAGTGTAACTGAGCTTGAGCATTCCAGGCGCCTGCAGACTCTCCAAAGAGGATGGTTTTGTTGAGGTCCCCTCCAAAACTTGCAATATTCTCATGAATCCACTCGAGAGCGAGGCGTTGATCCTTTAAACCCAGGTTGGAGAGGCCCTGAGATTGAAAGTCGGGGCTGTTGAGGAATCCAAATCCTCCCAGGCGATAATTACAGGCGACGTAGATGACTGGTCTGCCAATTTCGACAGAGAATCGGACAAGACTTGTCCCATTGTAGAGCATAGATTGGCCGTTCATATTGCCGCCTCCGTGAATGAAGAATAGTACCGGAAGCGGTTCGTGGCATGTGACGTTGCTTGGGCGAATGATGTTCAGAGTGAGGCAGTCTTCGCTCAGTCCGTTGTCCAAAGCATAATCAGGATCTTGTAAGCATCCTGGACCGTATGTCGTAGCCATGAATGGGTTCTGTAGGGCCGATGCTGGAATACGTTGGGGATTGCTGAATCGCAAGTTGCCGACAGGGGGAACCGCGTAGGGGATTCCGAGAAACTGATCAAGGTTGGCGATGGAAGTGCTTCCAACAAACGTACCGGCTGCAGCATAGACTGCCGGATCTGAGGCTTGTGGAACTGCAAAGGCGTTTGCTATACTCCAGGCACAAAATGCCACCGTACTTGGTATGAGTAAACCCATGGTGGCAAGGCGCTTCAGGCTGACGGCTGGATTGAAGCGCAGGCACGCAGCAGGTGCCGCCAGCCTGTTTTTATCACCTACCTTTCACCCATATGCTGGGCTTAGTTGGTTAAGATTTCCCGCCCTACCAGCCCCCGGAGCGTCACTCATACATGAGACCAACCGAGCTCGGCAGTCCGCGTTGTCATCCAGTGCAAGCAACAATGTTGGTGACTTTCTCGGCAGATCAGAAGCGCGCCCGGCGCTTCGAGATGTCGTGTTCGTGCAGAGCCACTTTAGAATAGCTAGGTGCTGCAACTAAAACCGAGCGTGCTTGAGATTATGGCAGCAAAAAATGGTTCCACAGTTCGGGAGCACAAGGTTTAGATCTGTGAAATCCAGTAGGCTTATGATGCATTGCTCCACAAGATTCACGTCCTAAGTCAATGCGACGATGGGCAAACTAGTATCACGAGGGGGGACAGGACGGGTCTGCATACATCACTAATGGTATTTCCTATGTGGACCTCTTTGAGTCGACATTGAGATCATGTTATACCCATCGCTATATCTGAAATGAAAGATATCTTGGCGCCTTCGTCGAAGGAAGACCTGTATGACTGGGGTGGCTTGCTTTGGCTGTTCCCAGAGAGAGTCTTTCCAACTGTTTTTGTTGCGATACGACGAGAAATTCGGATTTGGTCCAATGATTCACTCGCTGGTCTGCAAAGTCATACCAGTGCCAAAGAAGGCGATTCGACGACTATTGGAGAGCGAGTTTGCCGGTGACGGACTCGTCCACCAAGACTCGGATTGGATCCTCCAAGTTGACCCATCCCAGGTAAGGAAGGCTTGCTTGGTAACCTGCCATTCTCATGATCTCTAACGGATAGGTTCTCATAACGTCGAGAGAAGTCGTGAGGTACTGATTTTCTTCCTGATAACAAATCACATGCGTATTAGCTCTTCTTCAAATATCAGCCCTGGGCCATTCGGGTAGCAGTCTTACTTGACGGAGATAACCTTTGGTCATGAAACACGCATACACCAGTCTTTCCTCGTCGGACGTATTGTTGGCGCTCCCACCATGGTAAGACGAGCTGAGCATCCAGAACGCGTCTCCCGGCTCTAGTTCTGCATAATAAGCATGATCCTCGCCCGGCGGCGGCGTCAGATGGCTCCAGAGATGGGAGCCAGGAACGAATCGGGTGGCCCCATTGGCTCTTGTGGTCTTCTTTCCGGCGACAAAGCATCCTAGACCAGTATCACGCCCAATCTTGTACTCGTCCACCGTGATCTCATCGGTTCTGTTGTGATGCATGGAATCATCTCGATGAAGATCCTGTGCCTTTGCACCCGGACCGATGGAGAAGATGACGTTGGTGTTTAGCTGCGGTCTGGACATAAAATTCTCGAGCTTCTGTCCGCAGTAGCCTGGGAGAACATCGGTGAGCAGCACGTTGCAGACGTCTTGGTACAGTTTGTTCCCCGGGATCCTCTCGATAAAAGTTCGGGACTTTTCAAAGAGACCAGTAACCCGTCGCGTTTCGGGAGGGAAAAAGTCATCCAATGTCCACGGTTTGTCCTTCTGGATGAAAGGGCGAGTATCCTTTTCAATCTGGTTCAAGTCCTCCTGTGACACCATGCCGCGTACGATGCATCCGCCGCTCAGAATCAAGCCTTCGACTATCTCATCACATGAGGCAGCTGATGCGTCAAAGCATGGAACTTTGGGTGGTGGCCGAGTATGGACGCTGTTGGGATCAAGTTTCGCGGACGCATCTTTGTAGGCCATGGCCGGCGACATGTTCTGACTGTCCTTCTATTGAGGTGCTAACAATGGAGATAATTTGCATTGATGAAAGATTACAAGATCAAGCATGCCCAACAGAAGACTTGAGAAGAATATAAAGATCGAGGGTCGTCCAGAGACATTACCGGCGTGATCCAAGACATGGCAGCCCTTCAGGATTCATTGTAGCTGCTGGTTTAGGGACTCAGTCGAACCGCAGTAAGGTAGGTACCCCGGCAAGCTCCAGCGCGATACGCGCACGCGGGCATGCTATGCCGTACTGGGTACCGTCCAGGTGAGCCATAGTCGACCGGGCTCCTGCGGTGCTGGTAGTGTCAAGTCACTCCGGTCTCAAGCGGAGGAGATGTGTGAAGTCAAAGCTGCGGGCTCGATCCCGATCATGTGGGAGCCTAATCCGCTTCCGGCAGGGTTCGGGTGTAGTGTACATACTAGCACGGTGGACCCCTGGCTGGTCTGCGGGGATATTATCCTTCTCTGTCGCCCAGACATTATTGTCGCCAACAAAGCTGCCTAGAGATAAGGACGAATGCGCGGATCGCGCTTGACGGCCCTGAGCAACCCATCTTCATATTCTCGCTTCGCCGTCAGATCCCACACACTGCAAGTTTTCATATCGAGGCACCATGGGTCGACTAGGGGGCCCAGTCTTGCGCGGCAAGACCGGTTGCCTCTGCTGCCGCCGGAGGAGAAAGAAGTGTGATGAAGGGAAGCCCAGCTGTAACGCCTGCCGACGAAACTTCCTCATCTGCGTCTGGCCTGGGTGTGCCTACACGACGGTCACAGCCACATCTTCCAGTGCGCCGGACAACAACGGTACAGATCGGGCCCGCTGGTCCTCAGCGACCAAAGACGATACTGGTGGGTGTGGACAGCATGCCGGTGCCGAAGCCGTCGATATGGCGCTGCTCCAACTTTCGCCGGGGGATGGCATCGACGATCCGATCTTGACGAGCTTGCCACCAGATTCCCGAATCCTCCTGGAGCACTATTATCATCGCACTGCGGACGTCATGTCCCCTCTCCCAAAGGCCTCGAATCCCTATGTCACCCAGTTGCTCCCGATCAGTTGTTCGAATGACCTAATTTTGCAGACCCTCCTGGTCCTTAGTGGTGTTCATTACGAGGAGGACGTCTCGAGAGCCTGTCAAGCCGCAACATGGGCACACTACGGGCGGCTGATGAAGAGCCTGAAAACCGAATTGACAAGACACGTCACTTGCGCAGAGTCTACGGTGGTGCCTCTACTTATCGCAACAATGATGCTGTCGTTTATCGAGGTGAGATCCATTATCCCCCGAAACTGTATACGGAGGGCGGTGTTGACTTCGTTGGCAGAATGCTCGACTAGATAGTCAGAACGCGATGAATACTCATCTCAAAGCATCACGGCAGCTGTTACTGACCGCTTTAGAGCTGCCAGGATCTGTTTTAGATGACGTTACTCGCGGATTTCTGATTGAGACATATGCATACACCATAATTCTGTCTGATCTCTCGATAAGTGCAAGGCACAACAATATGCACATGCTGGGACATGCCGTAATTTTGCTCCGCTCCACGAGGGCACTTTCCGAATCAATCACGTACGGATTTCCCATCGACCTCTTTCAGCTTATCCCGGAAGTGTCGGTGCTGGTCAAGAGCTGTGAACGTGAACTTGAACTCTCCGGCGCAATATCCAAAGACACCACATCTGCGATCTCCAAGCTTCGCGGAACTATTCGATCTTGGAAGTCACACTCGACGTCTTCAAACACAATCATAACCGCGAAGATCTACCAGCAAGCACTTCTGCTATATCTCGACTGCGCGGACAGCACAGACGCGCAAATCTATGACACGATGTCGGATCTGGAATATGCGGCTTCAATTCAGAAAGCCTTTGAAATCCTGGGGCTCCTACTCGAATGTCTTCCCACGTCTGCACCAATATCGACTATCCTTTGCTGGCCTCTGGCCATCTTCGGGTCTGCAGCCATATCGCCGGCTCATCAGGCCATCATCCGGGAACGATTCATCCACTTACATAAAACGTCCGGATTGCGCCACGTCAAGGAAACACTCCGCATGCTGGAATTGTTATGGAGTTGTAATGAAGGCACTCGCCAAAGTCCTCGGCACTTGTCACGGAAGATGGAAGAGAACAACAGGTGCATCTGCTTTTTCTAGGCCATTTTGATGTACTATCAGACAGAAGGTTGGGAGTGTCGACTGTGTCCGAAATTGGAATCGCGCTAGTGGACGGTTCGCCCAGATTTACTCCGTAGCTGGGGTGGGACAGAGCATTCTCGGCCATCGCTGGAGAGAGGCTATTCCCAGCGCCATGCCACCAAGCATACGAAACACTCCCATCTCAACCAATCCTATTGCGTAGCGCGCTGAGCGTTCTGTCGCTTACTAAGTTTGCCCAGATTTTTGTCGGATTGAAACTTTAGATATCTGTTCTTCGACGTGGATCGATCTCGTGGGGTTTCGGGGATTTGGCGACAAACTTGGTGGATCCCAAGGTCTTCTCCACAATATCTAAGAGCGCTTTTCCTCCAATGTAGGATATATACTGCCTCATTACGACTTCATTCTCAAGGATCACAGGTTACATTTGAGATCTTCACTATGAGGGATAACGAGGATGTTCGTACAACAGGGCCAATACCACGGCGTATTGTTGCCCCCGGCACTGTCACACTTGAAGATGGCAAGTCCCCTGCTTTTCAATGTGTCGTTATCCTGATGGGCCCTTCAACTGACTTTTGCGCCCTGTGAAGCGCTCGCACAAGTTAAACACGCTACCAATGGGACATTAGTCCTTTATCCTCAACCAACCGATGACCCAGACGACCCTTTGGTTAGTCTGTTCCATTCAGGCTCCCTCTACAGATTGATCTAATGATTTCGTTGCAGAACTGGTCCTGCATGCGAAAAAGTGTCAATTTCGGCATCGTCACCTACTACTCGCTCATCGTGTTTGCTATGTGAGAATTCAAACATCCTACACACTTTTTGACGCTCTGCTGACGATGCCTACAGACTAGCAATCAATCCCGTGGTCTGGCAAGACTACAACGCGTTATATGGAATTTCCTACGCTCAGCTCAATTACACATTTGCAGCCCAGTGTATTGGAATGGCCTTTGGCTGCATTTTCTTCATCCCATTCGCCCTAAAGTACGGACGAAAACCAGTGTACATTGCTAGCACATTTGTGGTGTTTCTTACAGCGGTGTGGCAAGCGTGTTTGCGTGATTTGCCGAACATGATTGCGGCAAACCTGGTCTCCGGGTTATTTGGCGCAGTCGGGGACACATTGGTGCAGATGACGGTACGCAATGCTTGTGGATTTGTTTTTTTCTCATCGGACAAACGAGGCTGACACATATCTAGGTCGCAGATGTATTTTTTCTGCACCAGCGCGGTACGATGAATGCCATCTATGTGCTCTTCATCAATATCGGGGTACGTGTCGTCCGCACAGAGTGACACCCTATCCCATTCGCGTTAACAGTTTGAAGTCTCTTTTAGCTCCCGTTGCTGCTGGCTATAGTGCGCACTCGCAAGGCTGGCCCTGGATCTTCTGGTGGTGTTCCATACTCCTTGCGATCAATCTCCTGTTGTTCATATTCTGTTACGAAGAGACCAAGTACATGATTGTACTTGGTGCTGAGCCACAAGGTTCCTTTGAAACCAAAAAAACCACCGACGATACTATTTCCATGCAGAAGAACATGGAGCAGCCTACAGAGGTGGTAAATGCAAAGACTGCAACCATTTCTGACACGCAAACATCGACTGATCGTCCACATTTGTCGCCGAAGTCTTACTGGCAACGTATCATTCACGTCTCACAAAGCCCTGGAAGCTTCAAGACTTTTCTCCGCCATACCTATCAACCTTTTTTCATTCTTGCGACATTCCCGGCAGCGACATACACGGCCCTCCAATACGGTACCTTGCTATCCTGGTATTCAGTCATTGCAGTCACGCAAACAGAATACTTTGCAGCTCCACCATACAACTTTAGCACCGTGGGGATTGGCCTCTTGAGCCTGCCGCCTTTTATTGGATGTCTTTTTGGTGCAGTCTACTCCGGACCCTTCAGCGATTGGTCAATTCAGTGGTTCTCGAAGCGCAACAATAACATATATGAACCAGAAATGCGTCTCTACATCGCCATTCTGCCGGTCCTAGCGGGCCCTGCGGGCCTGTTTCTGTACGGTTATAGCTTGTCAAATGTGGGTTCTACCTCAGCGATTGCTTGACAGCAGACAGTGACTGACGTTCGATAGGGTGCGCCCTGGATAATCCCGTGCATCGGCTACGGGGTGTATGGATTTTCACAAGCCTCGATGTTTGGCTTGAGCTTGACATACCTAGTCGACTGCTACGAAGGAGTAAGTGCCTCTGACGGACTTCTTGATATGTGCGTCGGCTGACCAAACGGTGATGGTACTAGATTATCGGAGACGCTCTGGTTGGTGTCGCTTTTATCCGCAATGGTTTCGCTGCAGGAATGACCTTCGCTACGGCCCCTTTGGTTACCAATCTCGGTTTGTGGAATGCTTTCACGTCTGTGGGATGCTTGTGCCTGGGATGTGGATGCTGACAGTCCCCATGATCATCTGGGGCAAGAAGCTGAGAGCACATTCTGCCAGGAGTTATGCGATATATGCCGATCAACAGAGTGACCCTCGAGGTCGGATATAGTGCCTGTGTTGAATTGTAGCCTCTGGTGATATGTTGGTTGCAAAAATGGACCTTCTAGTCCTTTAGATATTTCCACACAGAGTTCGACAGACTACCAGGCAGTGTGCACGCTGGAGCCTCGAAGATTCCAACCAAGGCATTTCTATTGTTAGATATAGCTGGAAGCAATTTGTCAAAGCGGACGAGTAAGCGTGTGGCCAGAATCTTGATTTGGTAGAGCGCCGTTTCTAGATACAAATTTGCGTGCTCCAGGGGATGGTGATCAGAATACGCCGATGAGTAGCGCGCAAAGCCCTGCTATTGGCTGGTTTGAATCTGAGATACATTTATTTAGGATTATAAGAACCCAAGGTGACCTCTTTGCTTGACGAGGACGGAACATGGCCGAGCTCCGCACATCGAACCTACCCACTATGGGTTCAAATTTGGGAGCAGTCAAAGCTGAGATTGACAGGGCTATCGACTCGCTTCTAGGAAAGCTTCAGCAGGTCAACTCCACGGTGAGGTTGATACTCCGTTGTTTACACAATGCGCACAACACTCAGAGGGTAGCATGTGCTAACATCGGCCTTGGGGCGTGCAGATTCATGGCAATCCAGAGCCTGCTTTCAAAGAGCGACTTGCATGTGAGACCATATCCTCATTCCTAACATCACTGAAGCCTGGAATCAAGAATCTGAGCGTGGCAACGAGCGTCTACGGTCTTGCGACTTGCTTTGAAGCTCGTTATCAAAGTTCCGTTCCGACGAGTCGGTGCGTCAACTTCAATGCAGAATACGACGCTCTTCCCGGCATAGGTCATGCTTGTGGGCACAATTTGATTGCGCTCGCAAGCCTGATTGCCTTCGTGGCTCTCACATCAGTTCTCGAGAAGTTTGGCGTGGCTGGATGTGCTCAGCTACTGGGTACCCCGGCGGAAGAGGACGGAGGCGGAAAGATCAAGCTCTTGGAAGCGGGAGCATACAAAACATGTGCCGTTTCCTTGATGGCGTAAGTAATTTTACTCGGGAAGGCCTTCAAAAAAAATAACCTCTTTGAGTCATCCCACTGCACCTTCAGATCATCCCAAGGGTTACAACGGAACCGCGGGACAGACATCAACAGCTCTCCTGGACATCACTTGCACTTTCAGGGGTAAGAATTCTCACGCGGGCCTCAATCCATGGGACGGAGTCAACGCCCTAGACGCAGTCGTTTGTGCCTACAATAATGTCTCTGTTCTTCGGCAGCAGCTTCATCCTACCGACAGGATTCATGGTGTGATTCTCGAAGCGCCGAAAATCGCCAACGTTATACCCGGTGAAACCAGGACCGGATATACCGTGCGAAGTTCAACCAGGCAGCGAGCGTCCAGACTTGGTGAAAGGGTCGAGGCATGTTTGGCCGCAGCAGGTCTTGCGACAGGGTGCCAAACGGATATACAGAGGTGGGAGGGCTCTCGTACTGCATAATATGCTGATCTGGATAACTGACGGGGACACATGTCGGATTTTTCAGGGAGCCATTGTACGCGGATTTACGTTTGAACGCAACCCTCTGCTCCAGATTTGCTGCCAACATGAGTCTCTGGGGCGACAATGTCTGCGAGTTCCAGGAAGGCTTCACAGGAGGATCGACTGATCAAGGTGAGTTTTCTACTTCCCAAGACTACATACAGTTTGCATCTTGCGGAGGGCCTGATTTCACTCCGACAGGTAACGTCTCCTACGCAGTTCCAACACTCCATGCGTATTTCGGAATTCCCGCTGCCTTCGGTGTTCAAGTACACTCTTTGGAATTCGCAAATGCCGCCGGGACTGCCGAAGCATTTGCCGCTGCGGTGAGGGTGGGCAAAGCATTGTCACTTGTGGGCTGGGAAATACTGACGGATGACGACCTCTTCCGCCAGTGTGTGGCCGATTTTGAGCTTGACAAAACCGTTCGTGGTTGTGCCTAGACTTTGATAGTAAATAGATATTATGAGACGGACGTCACATTCGAGAGGCCTGTGTTCCCAAACTAGTCCCTGGATAGGTGTCCAGGCCGTGAAAGGAGATGGCTTCTTGGGAAAACCGAGCACCCAGCGTGTCAACAGTTCACACCTAAAGCGACTAAATCGCGTTATATCGTCCGATTGGTCAAAACGAGGCTCCAGTAGTCCCACTGTTCACAGACGTTACACTTGGCTCAGAGGGGTCTCGTAGGGCATCCTTGAGACAAGGAACAGCAGATATGCGTCCCGCATACGAGAGAAAGAGCGCTCGAAAGTGGCTGGCTCTTGTATCCAGTCTAGGCCGACAAACAATAGATGCTCTGTGTATGTGGAAAACCAAGTAAATTCGTTAGCTATCTTCCTCCCTCCCCTTGGTCATTATTTTACTGTATGTACTTATCATTGGCATCGACCACCAATTCTTTTTCTGGAAAAGAGTCCGATAGTCGATATCTTCTGCAGCGAAAAGCCACCCATACGACTATTGCCTCATGGCATCGTCACCAAGCAACGACATGGCCGGTCGCAAGTCGACCAGGTCTGTCAGGCTCGACTTTTCTGCATTCTTCAATATTGTCAACGGGGGAGTGCGTGGCTCGGAAAAGACAAACCATTCCGTCGACCCTGCGACGGGAGAAGCACTACCTCAGCTTCCCATTGCCACGAAAGAGGATGTCGATGAGGCCGTCAATGCCGCCAAAGCAGCATTCTCCTCCTGGTCGAGGACACCAGTGACGGAGAGAAAAGCGGCCTTGGCGGCATTTGCCGACTCCTTCGAGTCGTACACCCAGGACTTTGCGATACTGATGACCAAGGAGTCCGGCAAACCGCTGCGCTTTGCGGTAGAGGAGGCCGAGTGCGGTCCTTATTGGGTTCGGGGCATGAACAAGCTTGAACTCTTGGACGAAATTATATCAGACACCCCAGAACGAAGAGTCACCGTCAGGTACACGCCGCTGGGGGTGGTGGCGGCGATAATTCCCTGGAACTACCCGATTCAGCTTTCCTTCGTCAAGCTCGCGGCTGCTCTGTCGACGGGATGCACCATCATCCTCAAACCCTCCCCTTTTGCGCCGTACTGCACGCTCAAGATTGCCGAACTGGCGCAGCAATTCTTCCCGCCAGGCGTCGTCCAGGGACTCCACGGTGATGAGGACCTCGGGCCGGTGCTCACGGCCCACCCGAAAATCAACAAGATCACCTTCACGGGCTCAATCATGACGGGGCGGAAGATCTTGGAGAGTGCCAGCCGCACGCTGAAAAGGGTGACGCTGGAACTGGGAGGCAACGACGCGGCCGTGATTTGCCCCGATGTTGACATTCCCGAAGTTGCCCAGAGGATTGCCGATTTCGCATTCGCGAACAGTGGGCAAGTCTGCGTCGCGGTTAAACGAGTGTACATACACGAGTCGATCTACTCGGAATTCCGTGCCGCCCTCGTCCAAGCCACCAAGAAGTTGCGTGTTGGCAATGGCTTTGAACAAGGAGTAGACCTGGGGCCGATTCAGAACGAATTGCAGTACCGCCGAGTGTGTGGATTCTTTGAAGAAATGCAGAAACAAGGCCAAAGGATTGCTGTTGGAGGAGGAGGACATTCGAAATCATCATCATCGGGCCTTTTCTGTGAGCCCACCATCATCGACAATCCGGGCAACGATGCCCGAATTGTTCTTGAAGAGCCGTTTGGTAAAGTGCCCGCCCCTGATTTATCCTGTGCGTCTTGTCATTACCAAAATCTAACGATTCCATCGTTTGTTCTTACGCAGGTCCCATCCTGCCCATCATGCCCTGGTCCTCTGAAGAAGAAGTTATCCGTCTTGCCAACAGCACCGAAATGGGACTGGGTGCGTCGGTTTGGACAAACGACCTCGACCAGGGCGACCGCATCGGACGGCAACTCGAGGCTGGTAGCGTATGGGTAAATACACACATGGACGCAGCTCCCGAGATTCCTTTCGGTGGTGTCAAGCAATCGGGCTCTGGCGTGGAAGGTGGAGTTGAGGGCCTCAAAGCTTTCTGCAACATCCAGACATTGTCAGTCCCAAAAGAAGTCATCTAAGCAGCAAAAAGTATGGGGACTTCCTCCCTCATACAAAAGGAACCAGAAGCCAATCTGACAAAATAGTTTTGATATGTGGGCAAAAGACAACGTGAATCTGCGTGTGCTCGTTTTGCAAGTATCTGCGAATTTCCAATGTATATATCCGTACAAGTTCTTTTTGCCTGTCTCATTGGGATCTGCTGATGTAGATGAAGCTTGAATTACCGGTTCACATGGTCTATGATTTGCATTTACCTGAAAAAAAGATGAGGCTTTTCGACCCTCTCATCAAACCCGATGGTTATGTATCGCTACCAGCAAGTATTATACTCGGCCAAAACCTTCTCAACACCATGCATACTTTTGTTTTGAAATCCAAACCGGCTGGTCTTCTTGATGCTTTCCAGCCCATCTTAGGCTACATATAGACTCCCTGTGCCGCTCAACAAGGTCACAATGACCCTGCCCAAGCCGTGTTGCCGCTCGCACAACCAAACTCGGTGGGTCCCAGATCTCGACGCCACCCAACATCCCCCACGAATAAGATTCGAATTGGGCTCTGAGGAGCAGAGCTGACATTGCTCTCTCTGCTTCTTCCTTTTTTTCTCCACCTCCTCCAAGATCATCTTCTTGAGCTGCTGCAGGAGGAATGACCGTGTGCAGAACGTGAAGCTGCCAATCGTCCTGGTCCTTGGCAAACACGCGGCTCCAAATCAAAGCGAGCCCGGTGGCTTCGTGTATGGCACCTTTGACCACTGGGATTTGTTTTCCCAATGACCGGCATACAAACTCTTCCCGAGCATGGTGCCAACGAAAATGCTCGACGCTCGGAAGGACCGCGAAATAGGTCGTTCCCGGGTCGGCGGCGGACTTGCTTAGGAGCTCGTGCCGGAGGTGACTGACGGCAGGGATTCCGGGTAAGTCTACGGCGGTCAAATCGTGGACTGATGGTAAATCGAGCTTAGCCGACTCCCGGTAGTAAGAGTCCCGATCTTTTAATGATGACAGGTGGACATGATTGCTCGGATGGGCCTCCCAGCCGAATCGCGCATAGTAAGAAGGACCGATGTCAGAGAACAACAGCGACGCCGCATTTTTCTTTAATGCACCACGCGGGATTTGTTGCTGCTGTTGCTGCTGCTGCTGCTGCTGCTGCTGCCATATCTCCAACCTTGGACCGAGATCTGCCATCATCCTGCCCGCATAGCCTTTCCCACGGTGTTCGGCTGGCGTGTATACGGTTCCGATACCGTGAGCGCGGACCTGCTTCAAACGTCCTTCTTGAGCGACGTATGCATGAAACAGGATCGATTCACACGAAGCAAATATGGGTCGTGACGATGGACCATCGGCGTCGCCTTCTTTGGGAAGGTTCTCCTCCAATGTTGTCGTGAGGATCCAACAGGTGATGCCGCCTTCGCGGGTCAGGTCTGTATTGTGCAAGACGGCTTCCCGGGCGCAATATTGTTCGGCGGTCAAACACCCCCTCCACTCTTCGGCGTTGAGATGCGCGGTTCGCACATGTTCGATGGGTGTGGCGACCTCCAAAGAGAGAGACGGTGACTGAGCATTCGTGTGTCGCAGGGAGGAGGACGTTTCCGCCACTGCTGGAGGCGTCGACGACACTTGGGTCGGCATAGCGTTCCTTACCAGCCGTCGTCTGAAATGCAATGACTGGGGAAAGACAGGAGTGGTAGTAGTGGCACGAACGCTGTCTCAGAGACGAGCGATCGCGGCTATTCGTTCTCGAATTGTGCCGAGAGAATCGGATTCTTTCTGAACGACAGTGCTGTACTGTCGTTGGAGATTGCAAGCAGAAAAGTTCATTACCTTATAGGATGCCCAAACTTTAAATTACAAGTTGGGCTAGCTATATGATATATGAAGGAAGAGTGGCCATGGAGAGAAGAGCAGAGGACGCGCATGGCTTCAGGGCGCAAGTCACGGAGTCCTAGCACCGCAATCAGCCATGGAGAGGGCCCCTTAAGCCGGGCCCCAAAAGGGAATACAACGAGGTGTAAAGTACGAGGCAGGCGTAACGCGAGCGCGCAATCTCCTTTGATTGGCCCGTCGAGAACCTCACAGTAACCCTTACCAAGAGTTTAGTGTTAGGATATAGATCTTTTATCGAGTATTTCGTATCATCTCACTTATCGGAATGCATTTGTCAAGTTATACTCGTAGGATCACATAGATCGGAGTTGTTTGGACGCTATACTCTTTTATCGCTGCTACGACCTATAAGGTCAGTGGGTATCTGCACCAGCACGACCGGGCACTGACCGGGGTGAAGGACACGACTTGACTGTCACCCTTTAAAGCTTCTCCATTGTTGTGTAACCTTCTCTGGATCTTTTCGTCCACGCATAGGCCAGAGCACAGAATCTCTCCACTGCCTCCATTTCTGTTGCCCACCCAGTGACGAGCCGGATAACGAGAGACCCATCTTGTAGATGCTCCCAGATATGGAAATCAAAGTTTTTCTGTAATTCCCGAACAAGCGCCGGCGGCAAAACAGGGAAGACTTGGTTGGTTTCGGTCTGCGCCCATAATTTGAACCCCAGACTCACCAGGGAGGTGGAAATCTTGGCCGCAGTGTCGTTGGCGTGACGCGCAAGGCGGAAAAAGAGATCATCGTTGAAAAGCGTGACGAACTGAATGCCCAAGATCCGCCCTTTGGCCAGAAGTGCCCCTCGCTGTTTCATGTGGTAAGGGAATGACTGCCCGAGACTCTGATCTTTGATCACCACCGCCTCGCCCAAAAGTGCCCCATTCTTTGTCCCTCCGATCCAGAAGACATCTGTAAGGTTGTAAATGTCATCCAGGGACATGTCGTTCTTGGGGCATGTCAGTGCAGCACCGAGGCGAGCACCGTCCATGAGAAGAAGAAGGTCGAGACTCCTGCAGGCTGTGCTGAGAGCTGCGAGCTCGCTCCTGGTGTACACCGTCCCCATCTCGGTCGCGTTCGAGATGTATACCATTCTGGGCTTTGCCTGGTGTGCAAACAAGGAATTTTGATTGAACGCTGTCCCAACCTTCTCTGGGGTCAATTTTCCGTCTGCAGTCGGCTCTGTGATGATAATCTTGTGACCAGTGGACTCTATAGCACCAGATTCTTTTGTGGCAATGTGTCCAGACGGTGCTGCAATGATTGCCTCATACGGCCGCAAGTAGCTTGCTATCGATATAAGGTTCGCTGCTGTGCCACTGGGCACAAGGTGAATCGTTGCTTCAGGAGCGTTGATCTTGTCTCGAATCAATCTTCTCGCATCTTCACAGAACTCGTCGTTCGAATATGCCTTCTGTTGAGACAAATTGGTCCGACTTAATGCTTCGATGACAGTAGGGTGCACCCCTTCACTGTAGTCGTCAAGAAAACCATATCTGGGCATCTTATATCAAAAATGTAAGTAGCCTTTGAGATACTGGGCTCTCTCAGGAAGTGTTGAAAGTAAGTATTGGGAATCAGGCCGGTGGGCTAGATCACAGTAAAGTATTCCGCGGAATATTGTTACCTTTCGGCGGGGAGGGGACGAGGAGGGGGGGGGGGGGGAAGGGAATAGTAACAGTATAGATTACCGTGATAAAAATAGTTAGGTACTAGTTCTGTGACTATTAGTAACGGTACCTACCTCGTAGATACTAGGCACCTAGGTAGTTGGAAGAATATCATTCTTAATGTTGTAAGTCGGCCATAGCCTCCGGCTTCAATCCCCGCCAGGACTGCTTCAAGACGTTATCAAATGCGGCCAGCAATATAGTGAAGGACTTGACATGGTGCGCACACTCCAGAGACAAAATTTCGAGTATACATTCTTCCGACGACATATCCTAGCCTTGATGGCCACCGAGAGACCTCAAGGCTTGTCTCCATAATGCTCTTCCAACCACTTCTGCCCAGCGCCGTCTAGAACCGACCATACCCTTGCAATTTTACCCTCTTCGACATGGTACATACAATGCTCGAAAAATACCTGCGTGCTGCCGGGTGAAGGCTCGTAGCTTAGTCTAATCCTTGAGGCGATATTGCCTGTGTCTTCCTTTGCAGAATCGTTTTCGACAACTAGCATGTCGATGCCGAAATGTAAGCCTGGCAGATCTTTCTGGCTCTGGCGTATCATCTGCACGAATGCGTCAACGGACATGGGTGTTTTATCATCGTGAGAGTGAATCAAGCCCTCCTTAACGTAAGGTCGTAGGTCAGTCGTAAGGTCGGTGGAGGTGTTGATGGCTGAAATGTAGTTGAAGTAGAATTTTCGGAGGTCCATCTCGAGGTCGCAGCAAGAAAATAAGAGAAGTCCGAGCCTGGGACAGATGGCTCCACGAAGGATCAATTAATCATGAGAACACATGGGTTCCCAATATACAAAGTGTATGATCTCGACCGACAGTAGAAAAGCGAATAAAGCAATATGCTCCAAAGTACCTATCTCTACGGTGGTGCAACTGCCTCCTCGAGCGTGTCCCTTCCCTGCGGGCTTGTTCAAGTGCTTCAAGTCAGTCACTGATATAGCTGCATAGATATTGCGATGAGGTGATGACAATAAGAAACAACAAGTTGTCTTCATACCACACTATCAAATCTCCCTGATATGCAAACTGAAAGACAACAGCGGCACGATTACCATCCCCACTCATGCGACGACAAAGGACAGCCTCCCTCATACATCATCCATAACCACCGCTGTCCATGAACTCGCCCAGTGATGGAGACCCTCTTCAATCGCCGGAACCACCACCTTCTTTCCCAATCCTCGGAGTCCAGAAGACAAGGGCGGCTCCGAGAGAAGAGTCTCCTACTGCATCCACAACAAGTCTTCCCCTCCGCGCCTCCAGTCCTACCCCCCTAGGGTCACGGAACAGCACCTTTTCGAGTGTCCTATCACGCTCCAGCTCACCCAATGGCAGACTCTCGCTGTCATTTGCAAAATTTGGTCGATCTCAAGTGAACAGTCCTTTGGGGAACCCCTCGGAGAGTTACAATGACACCAGATCCCTCATTGTCCGAGCATTCTCACCTACAGTCGCAGTCTGTGCTGCACCCGAGGTTGACGAACTAGCCGTTCGCAAAGGCATAAAAGATGGATTCACGGGGTTGGTACGACCTTTCGGAGACAAGATCAATGGTAAAGTTGTTGTAAGAGACAGCACCGGTGCCAGTAGAGCATGGGAGGACTTTGGCGTGCATTTTACGAACTTGAGCCAACTGGTTCAGAATGGCATGAATCCTTCTGCAGAAGCGGGTCATCTTGAAAAGGTCGAAGAATTGATGGAACAATTCACAGGAGAAGGTTTCGATGACACAGCTGATGTTCCTGCCAGAGGCGAGGTATCCCACTTCTACAAACTATTCTTGGCCAGATTACTATGCCTGCAGTCAATGAGCCCGCATGAGTCTTTCCGGCATCCTGTTGGTGCGGTCATAGCTATCAGCTCTTCTACCAACCAGCCTATTGAGACGCTCCGGAATCTTTACCAGCAGACAGCTCAAGGTTCAAACGCCTTACCAGCGTATGCGAATCCAGAGTACCTGCGGTACTATGTGCTTGTGCATGACGAAGATCGGGATGATTTCAGCAAGTCGTCCGCGCTGTTCGATCAGATGAAACGCCATTTTGGCCTCCATTGTCACCTCTTGAGGCTGAGATCTGTGCCATGTACCGAATCAGATGATGACACTGAGGAACTCCCGGTCTGCGAATGGCTTTCACCATCTGAACAACTCTCACTTTTACAAGATACTGCACACCTGATAGACCTTAATGCTTCGACTTCGCCGTACATATTTTCGTCCGATGTCACTTCGCTGCGGGGATTTGTTCGCGAACTCATCGCTCAATCGATTGTGTATCACATGGAGCAAAGGGTTGCAATGTGGAATGAACAGGTTGCATCTCGACGGAGGGGCATTTCTGGACGTTTCATGTCTTTGTCGAAAAGGTGGACTGGAATTGGAAGTTCACGAAATTCTTCAGCGACCAGCCTGGGTGCTTCGGGAGCAAGTGGCAACTACGACAGTTTACAAGGAACCTATCGGTACGATGCTCCAGAAAGCCTTCTCCGCAAGCTAGCAGACTATGCATTCATGCTACGAGACTACAAGCTGGCAGCGTCCACATACGAACTTCTTCGATCCGACTATTCGAACGATAAAGCATGGAAACACCTAGCCGGTGCTAACGAGATGTGCTATGTCGCCACTTTACTTAATCCCTTGACCAGCAGTGGCAGTTCCAAATTCAAAATCGAGAACTTTGACCTCATGGTCGAAACAGCAAATTATTCATATCTGACCCGGTGCTCAGATCCGGCATTAGCATTGAGAGCGACTCTGTTAGGCGTCGAACTACTCAAGGTTCGAGGGCGCGCAGCCAGTGAGCTTGCCGCTAAATGGGCCATCCGATGCTTGGAGCTTGGTCTGGTGGGCAGTATAGGACACGTTCTCCTTAGTGAGCGGGTTGCATCTTGTTTTGCCGACCGCGTCGGTATTGGCAACACTGGCTGGGGCATGCGGAAGCGAAAAGCTGCGTTGTGGAATGTCATGGCCGCCGACGAATGGATGAAATTGGGAAGAGCAGAAGTTGCGGCAGAAAAGCTGGACGAAGCCCAAGAGCTGTACAACGAAACAAAGACCAGCGAGTCCATGAAGCAATTCCATGAGATGGCTCAATACGTGGAACAGTTGCGTCTTGCCGTCAGGATCAAGCTTGGTGAGGCGAGAAAGAGGGGATTCAGCGGAGCTACGCGACAACTGGAACTAGATCTCGACGGCCAAGAACAGACTGAAGTTGAAGATGAAACGCTGGAGGAGATGAATCCGCTCGAGAAAGTAGACAGCCCGATCAACAGGAGGAACCTGAAGCCTGCTGGTGGTGCAGGCGTCAACCCATTAGAACAAGCGCCACTGAGTCCAGTCCGACTAAACCGACCAGATCCTTTGTTGCGAGAGGATGACGATTTTGAATGAAGACATGAATGCTCTGTAGTCGTTGTGTTCCGAGGTATGAAGATTAAGAGCAGGTACTTAGTGTCAGGATATGGAATACTTGTAATACTCATTGCCAACGAGAATGCCTCCCTACTATTCTGATGCTTTGTGGTGACTAATCTGCGAACCAGTCCGTTTTCGGTTCAATTTAAACGCGTCCGCGAAACAATTCCTTAGCGCAGTTTCCGCGTCTGTGCTGGATACTGTATGAATGGGCAACGAATGCACTTGCACGCCGCAAGCAACGACCTCGAGTTCCAAAACATCTCAAACCCCAGCACCTGTCGCATCTCTGATCCCTCTTCGCAGGGTAATTCTGCACAATGCATGACCCGTATGAGGTTACAGACAGCACCGACTGGCTGCCTACGCCTCTAGCCGCACTTGCGCCACTCGACTCATCATTAAGATGCCGGGTCTGCAAAGACTTCTTCACTACACCTATGATGACCAGTTGCTCTCACACATTTTGCAGTCTTTGTATACGAAGATACTTGTCTCAGGAAGGCCGGTGTCCAGCATGTCGAGAACCCGACCAAGAAGTCAAGCTGCGTCGAAATTGGGTGGTGGAGGAACTGGTGGCTAATTTCACTGCTTCACGAAAAGGTCTTTTCACTTTTGCAACAGCCGCGGCAGCGTCCAGATCCGAAGCGCCGACAGCAGATTCCGAGAGGCCTAAGAAGAGGAGGAGAGTGGTGACTGAGCCTACAATCAACGGCGTGGAGAGACGGAACACACGCAGTCAAAGCAAGAGGGACGCCGAAGACGCAAGCCAGCAAAGTGCACCGTCTACTCAGGTCACTATTGAGGATAGCGAAGAAGGCAGCGTTTATGAAGATGATGCTGATGATGCTCACAAGAGCCCACACTTCGAAGTCGAAAATCAGGAGCCGAATGATGGACTGGTCGCGTGCCCATGCTGCCACAGAAGGATGAAGGAGACACTGATCAATACGCACCTGGACAAATGTATAGCAGGAGAGAGTACAACTCCGCTTGAGGGCGGATCATCGCCCGCCCCGCCTTCGAGAGCGCAAACCGTCACCCCCGTAACGATGGCCTATACTCAGCAAAAGCCGTTGAAACAGAACGACCGGTTACCGTTTATAAACTACAATCTCCTAGCGGAGAACGGATTAAGGAAGAAGCTGCGAGATCTTGGGATTCCAAGTCACGGATCGAAAGAACTGATGCGGAAAAGACATACTGAGTGGGTTAACCTCTGGAACGCCAATTGCGATTCTTCACGCCCCGTCACCAAGAGGCAACTCCTGTCGGACTTGAGGATTTGGGAAGACACACTAGGCCGACAGATGGAGAAGCCGCCCAATATTGGATTCATGGCTAAAGATTTTGATCGGGACTTGCATGTCAAGAGCCAGAAGAACAATTTTGATGACTTGATCAAGAAGGCCAGACAGAAGGTGACTGCCGTTACGGAGAAGGGACAAGACACAGTGCTGAATGGAGCTGCTCCAGCTGTGTCGACTTCGGAATCAGGACCAGTATCAATTCCAGGGGAAATTGATACAGCGGCAGCCATCGCTGTCCAACAGCCAAATCCAGAACCAGAACCTGCAGGATCGGTAGCCACTGCGTCTGGCACCCCTGATCAGCAGCAGGATCAAGATGAGAAGTTTGCGAATACTGGCCCGCCATCGTCTCTTGCCGAAGCCCCTACGCTACCGAAACAAGACTCTCGAGGGGTACAAATGGATTCTCTGGAGGTAGATCAACATCCCAGTACTGGTCGGTTTTTCACCTAGGTTTGACTGTTTGCCAGGGTGCAGGCTTGCTGCATCAAGACAGTCACCACGTCAATCATGATTGACAGTTCAAAAGGGCACGCACATGAGTGCAGATCAATCTACAGATACAAATACAAATACATGCACATGTACAGCATCAGGGGCAAAAAAAAATACATGTGATAATGGGTTTCATGAGTCATGAAAAAGCAAAATAGTACACTATTCCAGTACAAAATCGACGAAGCTTGTCTAGATACTCCGTACTCCAGACATACCATCTTAATTTATGAGTGTTCCCACTGAAGAAGTCTCCTGTATTTCACGGAACTCTTTGATGTAATGATTCAAAATCTCCATATCATCATGATCATAACCATATTTACCCATTGATCGTATTTCACTCTGCCGCAATCTTCCGGCCTTCTCGTTGCGGTTCGGCAATGTCCATTCGTTCCATCTTCTCGATGCTTTTCGAGAGTTGCTGCTCGACCGCATCGTCTGCAGTCTGGCTCTGTTTCTGTGTCTGTTGGGTTTGGATCGGGTCTGTGGTTTGCTGGTTCTCGCCGTCCTGGCGGCTCTCTTTCGCCTTCTCCGCGGCTTCCAGCTGCAGGCGGTCCAACTCTTGCAATCTCCTTCTGGTGTCTTCGGCCTCTCGAGCCTGTTGCTTTTCTCGTTGCGCCTGTTCGGTCTTTTCGCGCTCGAGTCTCTCCTCGCGCTCCATCGCCTCAAACTCGTCGTCGACCTCGGCTTCGTCGAGTACGGCCCTGCCACCGTCGAGGACGGGCTCGGCGATGACGCCACCCACTTCGTCGACCTTGGCCATTTCTTCGCGCAACGAGTCCAGGACGTCCTCGACCTTGTCGACGCCGCCGACCTTCTTGTTGAGCGTCTTGAGGACGCCGGCGCTGGCCTCCATGGCCGCGACGATCTCGACTTGGTCCGCGGCCGCTTCGATCTTGGTGTAGACTTCCTCGAGCTGGTGGAGGGTGTTTGTGCGGGATTCTAGTGATTTCTCGGCCAACTTTTTCGACCGGAGTGCCGACATGGCACCGGTGCGGTTGTTGGCCTTGACCGCATTTTGAGCCGTGGTTTGGAGGGTGGCGACCCGTGCACTTAGGGTTGATATCTGCGTGGTGAGGTTCGAGATGAGTGTCTTGAGCGATGCGATGCTCCGGTCTTCGTGCGTGATGGTGACGGTGTCTGATTCTGTCGTCGCTGTCGTCGCGTGGGGGCCTTTGAATTTTATCGTCGTTTCGTCGTACGCGAGGATCTGTTTGTCTCGCGAAAGGTAGCGTAGTAATACCGAGAGATCTTGTTGTGATAGTTTCCCCCCGAAGAGGTCGTTGAGCTCTTTGACGAATAATTCTCGACTGACGATACGGTCCGTCAAACTCGAGCTGGTCTGTCCCTCCCGTAATTTGACAATGTGCTTGTTGTACACCTCCTCCAGCGCGCTGACGAGCACGAGGCTACCTTGTCGCAGGTGCCCGTTGACGTCGTAGCTGCCGGTCCCCACGAGCCCGGCCCGTCTCAGGCCCCATTTGAGGATGGACAGCGGCGACGGAATCCACGTCTTGGTGTATATGCTCTTCTCGGACGTCAGGAAGTCCTGGAGGTCGACCATTTTCCCGGACCTGACCGCCTCGTCGAGGACGTTTCCCAAGCCCGACGGCCGGCCGTACCGAGGACTCGCGAGGGCATTGAGGAGGTCGTCGGAGGTGTGCAGGATCAGGCGTTGGTGGACGGGGAGTTGCCCTTCGAGGGCGGCGCGGGTCAGGGCGCTCGTCCACGCCGTCGTGTTGGCGGTGTAGCCTTCTGGGTTGGTGGTCTTTTGCACGTTCAGGTCCGAGTACAACGAAGGGAGCCGGGGGGCGCGAAAGGAAGGTTCGTGAGACACGAGCCAGTCGACGAGGCTGGGCATCTCGCGCGAGGGGTGGCCTTGAAAGGCTGGATGGGATGCGCAGGATACACCCGTACCGCTTTGGTTTGGGGTTTCTGAGTGCGATGTCTTGATACTCCGTACCAGAGTATTTCTTTTGGGGTTTGGGCTTTTTGTTTACGGGGCCACGGCTACGTCAGAATTCATGCAAGGCTGCGCAAGGCTGGGAACGTGGGACGACGAGCCTGACATGATCCTCGCGTCGACCACAGCTGTCTTGATTCTTGCGTTTACCCTTGCTTGCATACGTGAAGGATATCTCTCTTTGGAATATACAATTTAAAACTATACGCCATTCATGAAGTCATTTCTTTCCACAGATTCTCGACCAATTCCCAGTATCTCTGCCCATCAAGCATAACGTGGCCTACGTGTCTGCTAGACACGAAATCCTCAAGTTGAACCCTTTCCCTGCCAATGATGTCCATGGATTCTCTGGCATGGGATTCGACATCCGCCGCTGGTATCAACGCATCTGATTGGGAGTAGATGTACAACCTCTTCAATCCATTCTGAGTGAATGCACTTCCAGGCTCGTTCAACTTCCTTCGCAACCACAACGTTATGTTCTCGCTTCCAGAGACCGTTTCATAAGTCTTCGCCAGTCCGATGAATGCCCATGTAGCAGCGCTACCGACTGTTCGCATGGGTCCAGATTTCGGCAGTGATTCCGAGATAGCTGCGTGAGCACTCTTGGAAGAAGGTAAACTCGGCGTGCTGTCTAGAATGAGTGCCGAAATGGGGAGTGGTTCGTCCTTATTAGTCGATGCGGTTCGATAAGCATCTGCGAGAAATAGTGCCGAGTATGACCCGCCATTTGAGAAGATATGGAGGAGGATTCGAGGTTTGTCTGGTAGTTTGGACTGCACCACTCGTCGTATCACCGACAGAGCGGGTTTTATGGCGCGCCTTTGGAGAAATGTTGGCTTCCAGAACAAATCCGGTCCGTCCTGCTTGAGCAATAGTATTGGTGAGTGAGGAAACATTGACTGATATGGTTTGGTGTATTTGGCGATATATCTTGGGTGTGCTCCCATCCAGGAGCATAGTATGATTAGGTCGGGTGGTGTCCCAGCCTCAGAGTTGGAAGGACTCGAACCTTTTGGTTCATGGAAGAAGATCTGTGGTCCCAGCCTTGTAAAGTCGAAAAGGTATGGGTCTGGGGATTGATCCCCGAGCTGTAGTTCTGGTATCGGTCCAGCTAGTTCCATAATGAAGGCCTAGGTGAGTTGTTACATTCGTTGGCTGTGCCGAGTAGCGGAATCCTGGAACTCTGCACAGGCTTATATTTCATCTAGAATGCGTTGGCCGCAGGAGTTCGAAGTTGGCCAAAATTACCAGTGATCGACAGCATATATATATCTTTCTGTCCCGGAAGTTTGAACCTTCCAATGCCGTTGATACGCTCGAGAGCGATGAGATAGAAAGAACCTTATATTTTGGATGTCGTTGGGCCTCTTCATACAAGAGTATGATTCTATAATTTGGAAAAAAGTATATAAACAAATCAGAAAGTATAGAAAGTGTTAATAGGAAAAGAAAGAAGCCCTGTGCATGTGTAACTCGAGATGGGACCGAGGCTTTTGGGTAAAGAAGTCGAAGAAATGGTGAGACGCGTAAGATCGGCCGTAGGAAGTACGGTCGAGCGCACGACTGACCTCAGTAAGGTCACGATAACCGCAATGTCTAAGCCGACCTGCTCCCTCGTCCACTCTCGCCTACTGCCCTCCTCTTCCTCTCGAGTCCCCCAACACTCTCACTGCTCAATCTGGTTTCGGTGTATACTTGGACTTCTCTCTTAATTGTCGACCATATTTCATCAAGAGCAAGGGGACAGGCAGTGCCACGCACGAGATACCTCCCAGAAGACTAGACCCAGGCGCCACTCCGAGGTTGAGGAACAATGGCCGAGCTGCCAAAGGCAGCCCAAAAGCAAGTAATGATCGCAGAAAAGTGTTTGCAGCCATTGCACTTGCCGCAAGTGGACCATACGTATCAGCCAGGTAGTTGAGACATTGCTGGAAAGTAATATTGAATCCGGCGCCAATGAAACCTAACAAAGTCAGCGACGTCTATCCACATACAGACACGAGAAGATCGTGAGTGTACCTGCTGCAACCGAAGGTAAGGCCCAGGAATACTTTGGGTCAGCGGTCCAGCCGAACCAGAACAAGCCAGCAGAAAAAAATACGCCACCGACTAGCATGGGCGGCAGTCTTGCTTCGGGTACGGCGCGTCCATTATTTCGAGCCAATGCTTTTGCGTAGAATTTCTGGTTCGCAATATTGATGATCAACGCGAACACAACGCCGGCGAAGAGACCTAGAAATGGCAGCGTGGAGACAATTGTTGAATATCCTCGTTTCAGACCGAAAACAATTGGGAAGGATTCGAGTTGAAAGAAGAGAAGACCGTAAACGAAGGAGGCATAGGCGGCGATACAAGTCACCATCGATTCGGTAAAGAGCATCCTAAGTAAAGACTCAGAGATGGTCATTCTATCGTATTGTTCTCACTTACCGCCCAGGTCGAAAGATATATTTTGTAAAGATGGTGTTGCGGTCAACCTTTTCCGTTTCATGAGGATGCCAGTAGCTGGGATTGCCTGTCTCTGTCCGCAAACGTTGTGCTTTGCGTTGAAGAAGAACCGGGTGATAAGTTTCCGGGAGTGCAAAGGAGCAGAGGGCGACGACTGAGAAGGTAAAGATGGCTTGAATGTATTCCGTCCCTGGAAATGTTACTCAGAATCAGCAGGTATTCGACTGAGTCGACGATCAACATACATCTCCAACCCATGTGCGGATTGATTGTAATGGCCGCTCCAACAATAGGCGCAACACATGGGCCCCCCACAACGCACAGGGCTATGAGTGCCATAGGAATGCCTCTTTCTTTTGCGTCGTACAAATCACCAACTGCCGCTGAGACATTACTGACAGGTGCTGAGGCAAAGAGTCCTCCAAAGAAGCGAGTGATGAAGAGGGATGCGGCATTATGACTGACTGCGGTCCCGATGCTGAAAATGCCCAGTACAAAGAGCGCCGGCAGCATTGAGATCTTCCTACCGAACGCTTCTCCAAGGGGCGCAAACACCATGGGCCCGAAAGCATACCCCAAGACGAACAGAGACACTACAAGGACTGACGTCTCCAGGCTGACGTCCAAGTGAGTGGCGAGGAATGGTTGTGATGGTGAGATTATGGACGAACCAAAGGAGCCCACAAAGGCGAGCAAGGCCATTTGGAAACACAACCACGCTCTGTACCACGGATTCCAATTTTTGGGATTCTCGGGGTCATCTGGGTCCCATTTGACGAGGTACGCTCTCTTGGTATCAGCTTCTGTTGCAGGTATGGTGCCTTGATTTTTCTCAAGGTCGATAGTAGATCTTCTCGATAAAGACTGTAGATTCCTCTCTGGCATATCGCTCCTAGAATTCTCGTTCATACTGGCAGCTTGGGTGAAGGGTGAAAGATGAGCTGCCGCAAGAAATACATGTTTGTGCCCTTTATACCACTTTCACTTGATACCACCTTTACCTGATGTAGCATGACCATGATTTCGCAGGATACATATGTCGGCCGCCGTGCAGCTGTGACTTTGATTCGCACGAATCAGAAATAGTCGAAGTAGAGGTTTGAGCCATGATTAGACTGGCTGTCGGCGGGCAATTTCGCTGTGGGTCACTAAATGGGTGGGCCTGATCTGATTTTTAGCGTCGGCCGCCATGCATATATTGTAACAACCCTCCCTGGCCCTAGATTTCTCGTCGGATGGAATCTTCCTCATCCTACTCGTCTTGGGATGCGAAGTACCCTCATTACTAGGGAAGTGTGATATCGGCTTCCTCGGCCACGCCCTGCAGATGGCCATGGAGACGCATGGCACACCGTCATCGACAATGCCAAAAGCCTCACAAGTCTGCCGACTATGTCGCACTAGAAAGAAAGCATGCGACAAGAGGCTCCCCGCCTGCGGATACTGTTCGAAACGCGGCATAGTCTGCGTATACGGTGATGACGCAGCGTCGAAAGTGCAAGACCGTGTCAGTATGGCTGCGACCGGTGTTCTAGCTGTTCGTTGGGCCATATTATCTATCTTTGGCACTTCAGGTCCATCTGTCCTGCAAGCTCACACTGCCAATGGCCAAGCTTCGCCGCACAGCAGTCAACCGGTGACGTTGGCTGAATCTTTACACAGTCAGGTCACCAATATTATTCAATCTCTGGATTTATCGTCCGTGGACATCGGTGCACGGTACTTTCGAGGCTTTCATTCCTCATTTCCGATCATCGCACCCCAGCGATTCCATGAGATCATTCGAGAGCCGGTAACACCAGCAGCCGACGCCTCCGTATTGCTCCTTTCGCTGGCCCTTCTCACAGTGGAACCCTTCTGCGACGATTTGTACATGACTGCGCAGCTGCTCTTCACCTCAGTACAAGCAACCACTGATGCATCGATTGCTTTGCTCCAAGCGGCTGTTGTCATCGCCGCGTACGAGTATGCTCGAGGTTGGGTCGACGCGGCTTCCATATCCGTCGTGAAGTGCGTCAGGATGGGTTATTGCCTCGGGATTAACAAACATGACTTTGAGGATGGCCAGATGACAAGCGAGCGGGTATCAACCTCACAACAGTCATGGAACTTGTGGTGGTGCGTAGCAATGCTTGACAGGTACAATCGAGGCACTGATATGGAAACCATGAACTGACACGCTATAGCATCATTGTATCCGAGGCAGACATCGACGTCCAGCAGCCTCCAGCTTACCACCTGACTCATGACACGCCTTTACCTTTCGATTTGAGGCCGGGAGCGAATAGCTCCAGGCCTTCTCTCGGCATGCTTGGTGCTGTTAAAGTACGGAATGCGGACGACTTTGGACGTCAAGCGCAATCCGTATTCCTGTTATACCGTGTTCGACAAGCGATTTATGCAAAGTCGGAGCTGGGAGAATTAGCAAGGATCGACCTGGATATCCAGCGCTTCTTGATACAAGTGATGAAAGAGAGTACTGAGGTTCAGTCTCAGGCCATCCACAGCACATGTACTGTAATTGCTGTTAGGTCAGTGCGGTCGAAGTATTGCCAAACACAAACCTGATATTGATCCTCGAGCAGAACATTGTTCATCCTACATCAGCATATCTTGACAATGCAGATATCTCAAGAAACTCTTCCTGAACCGCAGATGCAAGTTGTCACCCAGACATCGCAGGCGGCCTTGTCTACGGCTGCAAAGATGGTCATCGATGCGGTGGCCGATCACTCACATGGTGTCGCCCTGATCACACAGACGCTGCCATTTTGCAGTAGGAAAAATATCTTGGACGCGAAGACGGTGGCCTCAAGCTTGGATGATGGCCGTAGCCAACCGAGAGACTTGAAGTATGTTGACCTCGTTGAAAAGGCTTTGAATAGACGTTGGGGTGCTGTGTGATCAGCAAAAAGTCATGCATTTGTCGATACGAATTTTGCACCATTCTGTGTGCTGTTGGGAGGAATTAAGAGGACATAATGATACTACAAGCTCGCATTGCCTTCTTTCCCATCGCTCTGCACATCACTCGTAAGCAACACCTCCTTTTGTGCATTCCGTCCTTTTCAGAAGACTTGTCTCTATATTGACATCATGACCAGTTCAGTACGTTGAGGCGAACGACGCCCTTGGGCTACGTTGAGGTGGGTCTTGGGAACACTGGGAAGTCTCCCATACCATGCCAGATTAAGCAACTCCGACCAAACCATTATGGAGCACCGGTAGTTCAATACAAACTATCTTGTCTGACACAATCATGACGGGGTGTACTTGTTGGCAAGGCTGCCTCTGTGGAAGATTTCGGTTTGTACCGAGTGTCTCATTTGAATCAATGATTTTCTGCCGGGCTTCTGAGGCTGAAATATATCCATTGGAATCATTTTTGAAGTCCATTGCGCGATATTCTTGAGCGACCATTCTTTCTGCTCTCGAAAAAATTCAAGATCCCATTCTACGTTCTTCTGACTCCGCGATGTCAAAGACACATGGCCACACCTCCAGTACCCCGTGAAGATTCATACTGCCATAGCGGTCCGGAAGTGATCGTAACGCCAAGTCGAATGATAAAAGTAAATTGGAAGTAGTGCGAAAATGCGACGCGGATATAGATTGTGATCGGAAATAGATGTCGTCGCCACTGGGCGGATATAGATCCAGGCCCAGAATTGAGTACGGGTTGGATGCCCACAGATTTGACTCGCCTTGTCATTATTTGCGTGACTAGCACTGAATCTCGAGAGAAGCCTCGCTGAGACCTCATCGCACAGTGAATGCGGCAAACTTCGACCAAGCGGCACATGCTCCGGGATACGATTTGAAATGCAGCCAGGCCGCGTCAGATCCCTCATCTAGTCCAGCATCGCGTTTGTTCAGCAGCTATATCTGGAAAGACAGTTATGTTCCAGCATGGCTGTACTCGAGGCTAAATTCCAGACCAAACTGGATCCAAAGTCCTCTCGAGCAAGTTTGAGGATGAAAACGAGTAGCAAATCTTCACTTCATTTCAACACCAGATTAGAGATATGCAGATACCAAGAACCAAATAAAAAAAATCTACAACTTGTGCCTCTTCTCTCCTCGTATCATTTTGCGGAACTGCTCTTGAGGATACCCACGTTGGAGGGCCTCGACACCGCCCACGAATTCCCGGACCGAATGGGCGTCGTAGGCGATCTCGTCGAACCTCGACATGACCTGTTTGGTCCTCAACAAACTCGCCGAGCTCAGATGCGTGCCCAGTCTCCCCTCACAAATCTCGGTGAAGACGGTGTCTGTGAAGCGTTCGGCGTCCTTGCCCGAAGCGTCGGCCTCGAAGACGCCATTCACGAACCCGCACGCGAGTAGCCGATCGACGGGGATTTTCTTCGCCATGAGGAGGGCCTCTTTGGCCAGGCCGGGTCCCATACGACCGACCATGGATTTCGTCGCGGCCCCCTCGACCACGATCCCGATGGAGTTGAAGGGGGCCAGGAGGTAGGTGTGCGGCGCGGCGTAGATGAAATCCGAATGTGACACCAAGGCCGACGCGAGTCCCGCGACGGGACCGTTCAACGCGGTGACGAGGATGTTTGGGTGGGTGTAGAATGTCTGCGCGAGATCGAGGAGGTCGGCCATGTGGTGAACATGATGACGCCTTCCGTCTTCGTCGGCTGGGACGTCATGACCCTGCTCACGAATATCCGCTCCTCTGCCAAAATTTCCGAAATCGAGGTGTCAGTTGAAAGGACATACTATTGCGACTGTGGGAGAGAGAAAGATGACAAGACTCGACTCACGAGGAAAAAAATCTTCCTGTACCGGCCAAAAGAGTAACGTAGACGTCTTTACGATCGGCAGCTTCCCTCAAATGATGTCCCAGTTGAATCTGTATTTCCTGTGTCAACGCACCTAGCTTAGAAGGGTTGTCGATGGTGATGATGGCGACGTGACCTCTGTACCTGATGGTGCAGGACATTGTTGCTGCTGAGTTGAAAGGTTAGGTGGAGGAGTCTGTCGATGCCGTGAGGAGTTTACTTCTTTCTATATATACATTATCATCCGATATCGCAATGCATCAACCTCGGCTCATCTTTACTCCTGTACGAAAATTCCTACGTGATGAGAACTGGGTGTTGTTTATTATCCATGACGAAGATTCTAGGTGTTGATCCATGTGAACGTTCAGATCTACCAGTTTCGACTACAATTTGGTTTCCCGTGGCCGTGGGAAGCACCGCTCTCGTAGAGCCTTCTTTTGCACCTTTCCCATGGCATTCCTCGGCAATTCCTTCATCACGAACAACTTCTTCGGCAGCTTGTATGAAGCGAGCCGACTCTTCAAGTTTTCTCTTATATTGGCGATGGTGAGCTCGGCGTCTTTACCTTGAACCGGCACACAAATCGCAGCCACCGCCTCTCCCCAGACGGTATCGGGTACGCCTACGACCGCCACCTCTTGGACATATGGCAATTGTAACATTTCCGTCTCGATGTCGAGTCCAGATATTTTGTACCCACCAGACTTGATAATGTCGACACTGGCGCGCCCTTGGATGAAGGTGGCATTGCCATGCTCGGCCTTGATCAATGCTAAATCCCCGGTCCTCCACCAGCCATCCTCAGTCAGGTCTTTCTCTGCGGCACCTGGTTTTCCCCAGTACCTATGTGTTCGTAGGAGGTCAGGACTGTAATGCTTCCTTGCCCGTACAGAAATTTTGGTGGAAAACATCAATACTTACTCTTTCATGAGACCGTCGGATTTGATCTGGATCTCTCCCATCACATCGGGGATGTTGGTCACATCCTGCCCTTCGGCAGTGATCAGTCGTGCTTGTACACCTGGGAGAGGCCATCCGACACTTCCCTGGAACAATAGTTAGCTTTATATTACCGCTCTTTCTCTCTGTTTTTATATCTTACGTGAACGCGCCCATTGGGACTCAACCGTTCAGAGTACGTGATCCCGGTTTCAGTCGTCCCGTATCGTTCCAGCAGCAGATACCCGTTGGATATTTGAGCCCATGCATCTCTGATTGGTGCAGGTAGTGCAGCCGAACCACTGATTGCCAATCTCAGACTCGCAGCTGCTTCTGTGGCCCTCTTTGCTTTGGCAGGGTGGCTCTTGAAATTCTGATTGAAATAGGCTATCATTTTGACCCAGATAGTAGGTACAGCCATGAAAACAGTGACTGGATGTAACGATGTACTGAGAAAGCGCTCCCAGACAAGCTTCTCGTTGAACTTGGCCATGAACTCTACTGTGGCGCCTGCCCAGAGCGGTAACAGGAGTGAAAGTGTGAGACCATGCCCATGGTGAAGAGGGAGCACGTGAAGTACTCGATCTTCACACGTCAACTGCCAGGTATCTGCCAGAGATCTGAACGAAAACTCAAGATTCTTCGCACTCAATATCGCTCCCTACATTGAGAATTTTGTCAATAAGATGAAAAATTTCACGAAAAGATGGGGTTAATCCAAAGTACCTTGGGAAGTCCAGTCGTGCCAGATGTGTAGATTATGGTGCACGGCGTCTCGGCTGACCACTCCAGTGCAGAAAAGTCGATTATCTAAGACTTCTAGTTAGCATTCAGTGGAAAATTGACGGGGTTGATGTTTGTGATACTAACATCTCTAGATCTCGCTTCTCGCGGAATAGTGGTCACATCAATACATGATCTCGTCTGGATTAGTGGTCTTATTTGGCGTTCAAAGTCTCCATGATAAATGATGAAGTCTTGGCCGGAGTCGGTTACTGTATGAGTGATTTCCTGAAGAGGATGCGTGAGACATATCGGAACTGGGGTGGCGGGTTTTGATGTCAGCTTGGATGTCACCGAGCATGATCCAGGTCTCGGACGACAAAAATCATACCCACGATTGCCTTGACGCTCCAGATAGCTAGCAAAGCGGCAATAAAGTCTACTCCAGGAGGCACCATCAAGCCGACCCTTGCACCTTCGATCGGTCTCCGGGCTTCTTGAGCGGCGGCAGTGAGCTTCTCGTGGAAAACGTTGACACGCAACAAAAGTTGAGCATAGCTGTGTTGCCCTGGCGTTGATGATTTCGACGAGACTGGATCGACGATGGCCAAACGATCGTGTGCGGCGTGTGACGCCAACCGGCGAAAGTATTCTGCCATATTATCTTGTTGAGATATCCTCAGTCTTGCAACGAGGAGAATATGGGAGTAGTCCGGAGCGCCTGAAATCACATGTAGCCGTGCGAACGGGGTGGATGGCTCATATGCTGGGAATATCTGCCTATGCGTTCAATTCCACCACAAGACAAAGCTGAGAGAGCCTTTTCAGAGCCAGCCTCGATCCAAAGATGATAAAAAGAAATCCTTGAGAAATTTTTGCGCGATACCGGAGCTGATCAGGAGTCATGGAAGCGAGAATTCAAGTGGGATGTAGAGGGCGGATATAGAAAGCGGATGTAGCTGTGGATATAGACATGATGAGCGGATATAGACCACCACGCTTGTGGGGACTGTTGGTGGAGATACCGATGTAGTCTGGGGGAGTCTGAGTCTGGGCGATATATGGAGTACTGGGGAGGATATATCAGAGATGAGCCCGCTCTAGCAGTCCCAACTTGTGTCTGCATCGATAGCATCCTGCACAGGTCTCTATCAAAAATGGCCTCTCATGACGTTAAACCACTCGACTCGTCCAAGCAGATCGAGGCTGCTCAAGGAGATTTTAGTCACTCTGACAATGTCGAGGTAGACAATGGCACTTTGACCAAAGACTTGAACAGACTACCACAGAACTTCACAGCGAAGGAGGAACGAACCTGTCTGCGAAAGATCGATTTATGGCTGATGCCCATCATCGTCGTCACTTACGGTCTTCAATACGTTGACAAAGTCATTCTGAACGGGGCCTCACAGTTTGGTATTATCCAAGACCTCGATCTGTACACCGTCGCGGGACTCGATGAACAGACACACAAGCCAATCCTGAATCTTCATCGATTTTCTTTGGTCACATTAATATTCTACTGGGGTTACCTCGCTGGTGGTACGTTGGCAGCCCTTTCTTGAGGACGATAATCTACTCCGTACATCTTTGACTGACGTCTGTGATCGACAGCTGTCCCTGCGGCATTTCTCGCACAGAAACTTCCTCTGGGCAAATACCTTGCGGGTACCGTTGTCATCTGGGGAGCTGTCACCATGCTAACCGCCGTGGTCTCGTCATACCCGGGGCTGATGGTGCAACGTTTCTTCTTGGGCTTCTGCGAAGCTGGTGCAGGACCAGGTTTCTCACTGATGATTCCACTGTTTTGGAGAAGAGAAGAACAACCTCTCCGATACTCAGTTTGGTACATGTCCCAAGGCCTCGGGGGCTTCCTCGGTCCCATGATGGTTTATGGTATCGGCCATATCAAGGGTGATCTCTCGCCGTGGAAATATCAATACCTGATCCTGGGTGCGATGACCGTCGGCTGGGGAATCATCATGATCTTCGCACTGCCAAACAATCCGGAATCCGCTTGGTTCTTGAAGGAGCATGAACGCAAGGTTGCGGACGCACGAATCCGACTGGAGCTGGTCACAGAAGAGACCAAATCCATCAAGCCTCACCAGATCGTCGAAGCACTAAAGGACCCAAAGACTTGGTTGACGGTGGTGTCGACGTACTGCATTCATTTCATCAACGGTGCCTGCTCGGGGTTCGGGTCCATCATCGTTAAGAGCTTTGGCTACTCACCCTTCAAGTCGGTGTTGCTGACTGGCTGTGCGGGGATCTATCTGCTTGTGGTGTTGGCCATCACCGGATGGGCAGCTAACTACCTTCGCAACATCCGCGCCATCATCTGGTGCATCTGCGAGTTGTTCGTCATCGCCGGAGCGGCACTCACCTGGAAGGTACAATGGGCGCCTGATCACTCAGCCGCCCTGGCAGGGTTCTTCCTTCTGTTCACTTTCCCGCCCTCTTACACCATGCTGTTGTCTCTCGTCGGCTCGAATACCGGCGGCTACACAAAGAAGGTCTTTGTCATGGGTCTGGTGTGGATGGCGTACTGTATCTCCAATGGGACAGCACCCTTGTTCATCAAAACGACCGAGGTCAAGGAGCATTATCCTTCCTTGTTCCAGGGGGCTCTTACCACAGCTGCACTTTCAGTGGTCTGTAGTCTCGCCATGAGGATCTATCTCGTAAGGGAAAACAAGAAGCGAGACCAAAATCTTGATGCTGCAATTAGAGATGGGGCTATTGCACATGATCTTACTGACTGGGAGAATCCTCATTTCCGTTACACATTATGAGAGTTCTCACTAATAGGATCAAGAGGAAAGGATTAATTAACTGAGAGAGGAATCTAACCTCAAAAAGATATAGTAGGATTCTGCAAAAATGGCAAAAACTTAACTAGGATTTATCTCCCATAGGAGCCTAGTTAAGAAAATCCCAGTCGTGTAAGGATTTTTTTCCCCCAGATGCCTCCCAACTCGGGACCAGTGAAGGTCTTAAACCGATCTATGGTACTCGCTCTGGAATCTCCCCTGTCGCAGCGCTTTCAACTTTTTCTACCCTCTCTGGCCAGGGCCTTGTCCTAGCTATGTTGTCCTCCCACTTAGTTGTCGACCTTGTGCCCCAAGTCTGCCCGAATTAATGTCCCACTGTGTTGTTGATCCCACTGTTGGTTGACCCTCAGAATTGATATCCCACTGGTGTTGATCCCACTTGTTGTAACCAAATTTCATGTGCCTCCTCGGATAGTCAAGTCGCCTGCAGGATAGCCATCCAGTTTGACCTGACTGACTTTCCAGCTGAGACGGTGACATTTGACCGTTGCACCACGGGGGCTGAAGAATTGGTTCCTGTGAAGGTTAGTTGACAGAAAATTCACGAATCAAACATATAAGGGGTCGAATTAATCCAGCTCTTGCGGGCCAATGGTGGGCGGGTACGTGCCTGGAGAGTGAATAGCTTGATGCGTGAAGAGGCGGCGGCGACCATCTGCGGTGAGTTGGCTCTCGCGGGTGATTATTGAGCACTGAGAGCGCCCATACTTGAGAGCGATACTCACAACCGTCGTTGTTCCCACGAGTGTCATCGAGAATAGGCAATCCTGTACGCTAACAATAGTCGCGTCCACATTGATATAGGAGAGGTCGACATTGAATCTCTGCTGTTCATGGTGGAAGACATATACCGTCCCTTCTGCAAACGCATTTTGATGTCAACACCACAGGTATTAGTTCAAGTTTAGCGGTGCAATCAATCCATCTGTTATCGGCTCATCGAAGAGGATCTATCTGACTTTTGCTATACCCAGGCCAAGAATTGTGGAGTGTCTCAAACGCTTCTGTCAGACAAAAGTGTCTTGACAACTTCCATCTCCGATCGAGCTTCCCCCTTCTCCGAACAGGCTGACCGCAGTCTGACTTTTTCACTTATTACGATTCTACAATCCCAAGCAGGCCAGTCACCGGCAGATTGTTTGACACTCTTCCTCGTATCTCTCATGCACTTGGATGACTCACTGTCTGGTTCTGTCGCACGCATATGCAATGACGTAGCGTCACTTGTTTGAAATCGCGCTTCATCTGGGTAACGGATGCACCGAGGCTAAGCACTTTAAAACAGGCAGTTATCACATCTGCAAAGGGACCTTCTGAACGAGAACGACTTGATGGTGGTCAATAACGTACGTCCAAGCCTTGCAATCATGTCCGAAGTCTCGGTACTTATCATCGGCTGTGGTGTCGCTGGGCCGGTGCTTGCGAACTTTTTAAAACGCAGAGGATACAACCCCATTGTCTTTGAAAAGGTTTCAAAACTGGGAGATGCAGGGGCGTCACTGATGTTGATGCCAAATGGGTAAGAGAATACCGCTTGTTTTGGTAACAGAGGGAATTAAGTTGCTGAGCGGAACGCAGACTCAAAGTTCTCAACAAAGTCGGTGTAGCAGAGAAAGTTGAAAAAGGATCCCAGCCTCTCGAGGCATTTCAAGACCTCACCTCAGATGGTGGTCTTCTAGGATCCTCAGACTTACCACAGAGTTTCCGATCAAAATACGGAGAACCTGCAATGGGTGTCAAGCGGACCGAGCTGAATTTGATGCTCAAAACCATGCTCACTGATCTGGATGTTGATGTGAGGGAGGGCTGGGAGCTAGAGGATATCGAAGAAGGGGAAGATTCAGTGACTGCTCATTTCAAAGGACATGGATCTGTTACGGGCTCATTCCTCATCGGATGCGATGGGATCAAAGCTGCTTCCAGACGTATCCTTCTTAGGAAGAGAGGCCTCAGCGAAGGGCTGCCAGACTTTACCGGATTAACACAGGTAAGCTACATGACTCGGGCAGCGTGCTCACGGCTGACACCACAGACTGCTGGATTGTCACCAACACCACAGGCGCTGAAAACTCGGCACAGCATGAGGAATTGGTTTGGTGAAGGAGTCCATATGATTGCATACCCAGTCTCTCCTGACGTGACGTCCTGGGCATTGACTTTACCTGAAGGCGAAGGAAATGAAGCTGCCTGGGGCTTGTGCTCTGCGCAAGAAATCGCCGCGCGAAGGGAAAAACTCCTCGACAAGATCAGTTCGTGGAAAGACAAGTCGCCGGCGGAATTGGTTCAAAAGCCATCTCGTATTATCAAATTTGGTATTTTTGATCGAACAGAAATGAGTCCAAATCAGTGGTATTCGAGGAGATGCGTTCTGGTGGGAGATGCGGCACATCCAACCTCCCCCCATCTTGGACAAGGGGCTAACCAGGCACTGTAAGTTGGTCTCGACCATCCCAAATCGATTGCACTTTCTCTAATCTGATCAATAGTGAGGATTGCTTTCATCTCAGCCATGCCTTGCCATCCTTGAATCTAGAGAGCGAGAATTATGAGGAGAGTTTGCAAAAAATCGGGCCGGGTTTGGTGAACATCTTCCAGGCTTTCGCAGAGAAGAGACAACCAAGGACGTCGGCATTGGTGAAAGGTGCACGTACTCAAGGTCAGACACGGGTCGTAACGACTGGAACCGACGATTGTAGACTGCGGAATGAAAAGGTTGCCGCAGGTTGGAAGGACGTTGAGGCAATATCAGCAAAGTACGATGCACTTTGCCGGGAGCCATTCCAGGGAACTCCTACATAGGTGTTATGATCAAACGGGTAACATTGGTAATTGTGAGTATTTCTCTCATAAGCATTGTCTCGACACGGCAGCAAGCCTTCTGGTCTCAGCTAGTCTCTGTAGTCGCCTGGTAAGGAATGCGTATGTGATGAATGAGACGTGCTACTGCAGGACACCGTGACGCTTCTTGTGACCTCGTATTCGTACCGGCTCATTGGCCAAGACATTTCCTCCAACTCCGAAATTCAGACGAAGGCAGACATCTCAGTCTGTCATTGATTTTTCCATCTCCGAAATTCTGTGTTCTCCTCCGGATGCTGGCTTACTATCTTCATGTCCAGTTCACAATCCGATCCAGCAGTGACCTCATCCATCGTCCAGAAGAAGCCGCGCCATATTCCCAGGCGGGTCCCTCTCAGCTGTGATCCTTGCAGAAAGCGCAAATTGAAATGTGACCGCGCCGTACCGTGCAGCACTTGCTCGCGGTACAACCGGGAAGACCTGTGCCTGCTGAATCCTGCGCCGCCTAGAGGCAAAAGGATAAATTCACATCCCAAGCAGAGGACTCAGAGCCAACCCCAGTGCACTGTCGAGGCCCACAATGCTAGTCAAACCGCTGGAGCTGCGGCTCTCGAGAGGTCTTCGCCCCAGGGACTCGGCAATCTATCTTCACAAGTGTGGTCAGAGACTCCAAGCTATGAAATAACCGAGTTCGTTGCGGATGTTCCGGTGACAGAAGAACGACCTGGACCCGGTCAATCAGTCGAGAAAGTCCAGGCCGTCACCGCAGCCCAGCCATTGTCTTCTAGTCATCAGCAACTTTTTACTGCCGGAGATTCTAGCACATCACGTTCAGATGGTGCCGTTAACATCTTGTTTCCACAGAATCTGCCGCTTCTACAATTTTCTAGTGGTGTCGATGGTAGTTTCATGGATAGTTTGATATTTTCAGACAACGACATGCAATGGAAGAAATTGCTGGTCAAATTTCTTCCTACTCGAACTCAAGCAGACGTACTCCTCAGCTATTTCATTGAACACATCAACTGGCTTTTCCAGACGGTCCATGTTCCCACGTTCCGAAAAGAGTATTCTAAATTTTGGGACGGCGAGGTCAAAGATGTAGATCTACCGTGGATGTCGCTGTTGTTCACAATTCTGTCCTTGAGCGCACTATACATCCCTGTTGATGTTGCGGAAGTGGTCGGTCTGCGACGAGATTCTATCCGAAAATATTCCCACATATGGCATCGTGCAAGTCTGCAAGCTCTTCAGGCTGGCAATTACGAAGGAAAGCCAACTCTGTCACAGTTACAGACATTCTCCATTACACAGCTATATTGGTACGCAACCAACAACATTGAAACAATTAATTCGTAAGTCCAAATCCTCCGATCACAGTTTCTGTCTGATGGGCAATTAGGCGGATGGGCCAAGCTGTGCGAAATGCTCAAGCTCTAGGGCTGGACAAAGATCACACGCCTGCCAGAAATGTAGCCGAAGCGATGAGACATCGCCTGTGGTGGGATCTAGTGGACTCCGACACGTAAGCAGATTGTGTCTTCCAGTGTGGCTTGATGTGTGCTAAAGAAACCCAGGTTTCAGTCAATATGTCTCGATAGGCCACCCTTGATTCAAGTGCACCTCACCAATGTACCACTTCCCCTTAATTGTGACGATCTCGACCTGGGTTTGGACTTTGCGCGTGCAAGGACCATGAATGAGCCTACCGTTATGAGCATGAACATCTATCGAGCGAGGATATTCCGGCTCCTCAACCGCGCTCTGGTCATTGATCCGTCGCAGCTTCAATCCTACAATTCGGTAGTTGAGATTGACCGAAAACTTCTGAAGATTATTGACGAACTGCCCTGGTATTTCCAGCTCGATCATGAGGAAAAAGCCAAAACCTTCTCTGCAGCTCATGAATTCTTGACATGGCAAAACCACATTCTGCGGACATGTGTCAGTACGCAGCGTGTTCGTATGTATCGACCATTTCTCGACAGCGTCACGAGCGCCTTCGACACCTGCATTGGGGCAGTTGAGAATGCATTGGCTACATACAGGACCCTACGCAGAAATGAGCCAATCGTCACGCAACAGAAATTCTACCCACAGGCGTACCAGATTTTCTCTGTCGCCGTCACCTTGGGCACGTTACTTCTGGTCGAGAGAACCATTCCAAACGCCGCTCGCTTCCGGGTCGATGTTCACAACATGGCGGACGATTTGGGTCTGTTAGAAGCGCAAGCGTGCCCTGTTCCGGTCGCCGTCAATGGACACAACGTTCTACTCAAGATCCTATCGCTGTTCGAGCAGGGTGAGTCTTGCTCACCTGAGGACGCTGAACGCCTCGTTCCAGACATTTCGATCATCCTGGGTGGTGAGAATACTACTCGCGCCTACCTGAGACGACGAACTGCCACTGAGACACAACAGTCCAATCAAGTTCAGGCTCATTTGGGTGACGTTAGAGATCAGGGCGATGGTGGCAGACAGCTTCAGGGTTCTGAAGTGACGACTGGTCAACTTATTTCGTTGACTCCTCTTCTTGGAGCAGCAGAGGGACTTTTCGACTTGGATGATTTTGACCTTAGCGACTCTTATGGTCTTTTTGACTGGGACATGACCGGTTTGTTATCAGATGCTCTGGCCAGCGGGAGGCAGTGAAACCAGTGCTGCTATGTGTCACCACAGCACTCTTACTTGGGTGCTCACTTGCCCGAATGACCTCTTCGAGATGCCATTCACACGATGCTTGATGCACCGTGCTCTGCCTCCCTTCCCCGACATCCTTGGGAGTTGTCTGTCGGATACCGAGGGATGTGAGGTGGATCTTGCGGAACGGTTATTGTCGGGTCCACGTACGGAGTAGAAGCAACTCGTATCCATCCGCAATGAACTCCGCACCATGTCGACGAACCTGAAGTCAAATGGAGAAAGATATGTTTAATGAACAACTTCATACCATACTTTTGGCAGTGGTGTAACTGAAATCAATGGGTAGGGTCCAGAAGTGACATCAATCCTGGCGACGGAGAGATAGCATAGATCCGTTGTCGACAACTTGCAAGAATCCCTCTTTGGATTCTGGGCTGAAGCCAAAAGGCCATTATCAATACGGATAGCACGCGCAACATGCAACGAACTCGTTTGCAGCCAGGGAAAGGCAAAGCAGAACTCAGCAAGCAAAGCGGATCAAGCAACTGTCCCGCAATGTCGCCTCCTCATATTTATGGAATTACTCTAGCTAACGGGAGTACCATCACACATGGTATCGGTGCGAACGTTAAACGACCCTTCTCAGATGTCCCGGTCGTCATGCACGAACTCGACCCCGGCACGCGCTCGTTCGCAGGACAATTGGGTTTCATTGAATTCTCCACGGAATACCGACTCCCAAGGCACGTTCACATTGCCCCAGCAGCTGACGAAGCATCGGCCGAGAGGAGATTCATCTGCGAGAGGATTGTGGTGTTGGATGGCGTTGCTCTCGTCGAATTCAATGGCGAGAGGTACGTGATTCCGCCCAAGACGTTGGTGTCGATTGCCCCCGGCGTACCGCACACGTGGACCGCTTGTCCGGTTGGAGTCACGGTGGGAGAGGGCGATGCGAGCGTCACTTCAAAGGGCGCGTTTCTCATGCTGTACGAGTATGAGGAGGCGACAGCCTTCTTCCCTACCTGGCAGACTCGAACGTTGGAGCGCGTGGAGGAGTATGAACGGTGTGAAGATCTGGAGAGTATCAGGTTCCCTGAGATGTCTGCGAAGGATGTATACGAGGAATGTTGGTTTGCGTGGGATAAACAGTTGACGAAGAAGGGGCAGAATTCAGGCAGGACTCGATACTGATGCGAGCACTGTAGCATTGTCTTCCAAAGGGGAAATGGTGCTCTCGTGTAATCTCAAGACGCCAATTGAGGAGTGGGTCGTAAAGAATCACAATTGGCATGCCCACAGACAGTGCCGGCCTCGGTTGAGACAATTTCCGGAACTATGAGTGATATCATGGCCTCGAACTCCGTGGTGAATCCATGAATTAACACGTATTTCAAGAATCAGGAGATTGTCAGTAGACGAGATCTTTAAGCCAAATTGTACATTTGGCGTTTTGATCCACCACATATTTGTTACGGTCGAGTAAGCGGCAAATGTAGCGCTGTTTCGCAAAGACGAAACCACCATCAATGAGTACACCGAGTACTTCGTACCATTTCTGTAATGTATTCTGTGGATTGATTTGTACACAGCCAGCTTCAAGATGCATTACGACCTACGGTAGCGCCTGGAGCGCTTGAACCAACACCACCACAATGATAGACTTCATGGATTATGTTGTCCACACGTTCGGCACCTCGACCGATTGGAATGTCGACAACAGCTACTCCTATCTGACTGCGACTTCTGATGCTCTATTGTCCTTTCAAACGCCCTCATCCCTGGCCTTACATGTCTCGTCCCTAAGCACACCGAATTTTGCAACCTCGTACACGCTCTCGACCTTGGGCCAGATTGACGGGTCGATATCTTACCTCTATTCGACGGTTCCACTCGCACACATACCATCGCAGACGACGAGCATACCTTTGAAGAGCTTGGTGAGGGGTTACCGAGATATCAAGTTGCCAATAGGATTACAAGAGAAGAGACAGCCTTTCCAGCAAGACGCGAAGAAGCCGACGCTGCTACATGCGACGCTTGCCCTGCCCCCTCCATCTGTCTTGACAGGACTATATGCCAGGCGCATAAACCCTGATACCCTTCTTTCACTGTCTCTCTATAGCAAATCTGTCGCACTCCCCAGCGCCAGTGCTGGTGTTCCTCCGGCATCGGTGCTAGCCCATGTTCAACATGACACAGGTAGATACTCTATCGAGGGACTCGGCTCGACAGACAATGCGCTACTTGGTGTTCGCGGGCTTTGGAACTTTGGCATCTCACCGCCAGAGTCAGACGGTTCGATCTCTTCTGCCACCCCGTCTGAACTGGTGGGGGACCTCACCGACTTCCCAACGAGGCTGCCGCTCCCACCGCACTTGGATGCCCTGTCAGCCTACCACAACCGACTCGCCTCCAAACCATCCCTTCTCTCCGCCGGGGCAGAATTCTATTACAGCCCCTTCAGCCATGTCATTGGCTTGTCGACGGGCCTACGCTTCACGACACTGACACCACAAATCACGCCTCCTGATGAACCGCCAGCTCGTTCTTCCAACAAGCCATTGGCGGGGACATCGGCCGCCCTACTCTCCAGCGCGAGCCACTCGCTCCTCACACCAAGCAACGTCCACCACTCATCGTTCCCGTACACCATGACACTCGTCCTGACCCCTCTCACGGGCTCAATATCATCATCGTACTCGGTCCGGCCGACGCCCAACCTCGCACTGTCTTCTCGCTTCGACTTCAACTTTTACTCCTGGGAGAGCCGGTACGTCCTCGGCGGCGAGCTGTGGCGGAAACACCGCACGTCCAAGGACCCAGACCATTCCACATCCTGGGCCCGAGAAAAGACCCGAGACTGGTTCACCCCGGCCGAGAGGGCTCTCAAGGACGAACGGGTTGCGAGAGAGGAAGAGAACGTGCTCAAGTTTCGTCTGGACGATACGTGGAACGTCCGGGCCTTGTGGAGCGGCCGTGTCAAGAGTCTCCTCGTCAGTGCGGGCGTGAGTGTGTGTCCTACATCGAGAGGTGGGAGTAGCAACGCACCCGTGACGGTGGCCGGTGGCATGGCGAGGCCAGGTCTAGATTCCGATGGAGGACCGAGTGAGAAGAGGTGGACTGGCAGTGTAGGATTCAGCATTGCTTATTCGACTTGATATGATACCGCGAATGCATAGCGAATGTGAAAATGGAGGTGCATCCATCTCTTTCCGACAAATCAAATATACCCAGGGTACATAGTTATCTGAAAGTGACACGTTTTCAAATCGATTTGTATGTTCTGGAAAAACAATCATATCTACGGGCGTCAGGTAACAAACAATGATTACCCGACACCCAACAACTTGAGCGGAGACAAAAAGGGCTCAACGCTCCAAGAGGCACGCCCCGAGAGTATGGAGTGTGACCATCTATCTACAATTCCACTCGTTCCCGTACCAATCGAGGCAAACCCGACCATTGCAAGCGTCGATGACGGCCATTGACCAGGAGCAAAAGAAAAGATGCACAAGTAATGACCCAAACTATTGACCGGTTCTTTTCCCACATGTTGACACTTCCGTACCGCCCATATCAATTTCCTCGTCCCGTAACGGGCCTGGTCTCGATTCTCGTTTGTCACCAATGCATTCTTATCTCTTCGTTTTATTCTTCAGAAAGACAACTCCAGCCCAGGTTCTGCAACCGGAAAACTTTTCCTCTACCGGATAAAAGGCCGCCACGTCGTTCCATACTCTGCACACACCCTCATGGCCACATTGCACTCGACAAGGTCCGTTGTTGTCGTGTTTGCACTTCCAATTTCAAGGGGTGATTTGTTATTCGCGGGGCGCTTAGTTGTTCTTCTTGAGAGCATCGACAAACTCCTTTGGCGGTTGCTGTCTGTATCCTTCGGGGTTGTTCTCTGTCCACTTCCACAGGTCCGCGCAGGCTTCCTCCAGGGTGCGGTGTGTCTTCCAGCCTAGCTCTCTGTTCGCCCTGGACGGGTTACTCGTCAGGTCGAGCACGTCGCCCGCTCTCCGGCCGGCCACCTCGTACGGCAGATCGCGGCCGACGGCCTTGCTGAATGCCTTGACCATGTCAAAGACCGTCGAGCCTCGGCCGGTGCCCAGGTTCCACGCCCGGACTCCGGGGTTTTGGCCGCGAAGGTAGTCGAGAGCCTTGAGGTGACCTTGGGCCAGGTCGAGAATGTGGATGTAATCTCTGATCGCGGTTCCGTCGTGGGAGGCGTAGTCATCTCCGAAGACCAGAAGTTTCTCGCGCTTGCCGTTGGCCACTTGCGCCAGAAGGGGCAGCAGGTTGTAGGGCACGCCAGATGGGTCTTCGCCCATAATACCACTGGGGTGGGCACCGGCAGGGTTGAAGTACCGTAGCAGACCTGCGTTCCACTTGTTCACGGCCGAGGTGTCACCTTTCTTCTGGGCCTTGGCCCGTTCGGCGTTGATGTGGTCCGTGATCATGAGTTCGGATGTGAATTTGGTGTTGCCGTACGGGTTCGTCGGGCCCAGGGGGCACTCTTCTGGGATGGGGATCATGCCTGGGACGCGGGTGGCATCGCCGTAGACAGTCGCCGAGGAGGAGTAGACGATGTTGGTGACATTGTGTCGGGCAGCGGAGCGGAGCAGGCACAGTGTGCCGTAGACGTTGACTTTGTAGTAGTCGAGGGGGATCTCGCCAGACTCGCCGACCGCTTTGAGGGCAGCAAAGTGGATGACGCTGTCGATGTCGGGGTGTTTGGCAAAAATCTCGTCCAGGGCCTTTTCGTCGGTAATGTCTGCGTTGTAGTACTCGGGCTTCTTCCCACAGATGAGTTCTATCCTGTTCAGCACCTCAGGAGACGAGTTGTAGAGGTTGTCAACAATGACCACTTTGTAGTCTGCTTCAAGCAAGGCCAGTGCGGTGAACGAGCCAATGTAGCCGGTACCGCTGTATGCAAGTCAGCGACTATTCTTGTGGTTCTTGGAGGCTCCTGTTTCCGCCTGTACTCACCCGGTGATTAAGCAGGATCCTGCAGGCATGTTGATGTCGGTATCCGAGACAGTCGGGGAATTGCTTTCTTGCGGTCGTTCAGGAGGGGTTGTGAGAGTTCTCGGACACGCTGAGTCCGAAGGAGAAGAGGGTGCTTGCTATATGTACGCGAGTGTTCTCCCAAAAGTGCGAAAAGATGGAGCGTGATCTTGTCCGGCGCAATCCGTGAGTGCAACGTGGGGTGAGGGCTACAGGCGACTTGGTCAGAAAAAAAGCTCATCAACAGATCGCGACGACGCAGCATGCAACATGCAACATGCAAACAATGGCGGGGTGGCATTTACCGTACTCTGTATCAAGGAATACCTGACAATACCGTGTATCGTGATTGAATCTGCTGCCTTGATTGCTTGGGTCTGTCATGCCGTGTAACGCAAGATGCGGTTAGCGTCGGCGGCATCTGCACCGTTCTCCGACTCCCCGCGATTCGCCCGTTAACTTTTTTTGATCTGTGAAACTGCGTTGTGATATTCCGTAACATGAATACCTGTCTAGGTTGAAAATAGATTCCTCGTCGTTCAGTCAACATGGCAGGACCTGTCGCCAAGAGGCAAAAGACAGCTTCCAAGTCGCAAGAATCTTCAGAGCCTCGTATCACCGACCCTCGTTTTGCCAACATCCAGTCTGATCCACGATACCGCCTCCCCGGACGCAAGGACAAAGTCAAACTAGACAAACGTTTCAAACGGGCATTGGAAGATGATGACTTCACGCGGAGAGCAAAGGTGGATCGTTATGGCCGACCTCTCGCCTCGGATGCAGAGAAGAATAGGTTGAAGAGAAGATATGAATTCGAGGATGATGAAGAGGAAAGCGACGAGCCAGACGACGACGAAGAAGTGCAGGAAGAATTGAAGAAATTCGACCCCCTGCGCGAGACTCGAGATGATGACTCTGCATCTTCCTCCGACGAGAGCACAAGCGATGAGGACTCCGATGAGGAAGAAGCAGACCTTGACGAGGAAGTCGGCGTAGGAGCGACGCAAAACACAGACATACCTACAGGCGAAGTGACCTCTCGCATCGCCATCGTCAACCTGGACTGGGACAATATCAGGGCCGCCGATCTGATGGCCGTCTTCACGAGCTTCCTTCCTTCCACAGGCAGCCTTTCCAAAGTGTCGATATACCCGAGCGAGTTCGGCAAGGAACGGCTCGAGCGAGAAGAGATGGAGGGCCCACCCAAAGACATCTTTGTTGCAGACGCCCACTCTGAAGCATCAGCCTCTGAAGACGACGAGGACGAGGCCGACGACGAGGCCATCAAGAAGTCCATCCTCCAGGCCGACGACGGTGCAGATTTCGACTCCGCCGCCTTGCGCAAGTACCAACTTGAACGCCTGCGCTACTACTACTGTATCCTGACATTCTCGTCACCCACCGTCGCAAAACATATCTATGACGCCGTGGATGGAACCGAGTATTTGAGCACGGCGAATTTCTTCGACCTGCGCTTCGTGCCAGATGAGACAGACTTCTCCACAGACACACCCAAAGAAGAATGCACCTCGCTCCCAGGGGACTACAAACCAAACACATTCGTGACGGACGCGCTTCAACACAGTAAAGTCAAGCTCACATGGGATGCTGAGGACAGTGGACGAAAAGAGACAATCGCCCGGGCCTTCACAGGGTCAAGGAAGGAGATTGACGAAAATGATCTAAAGGCGTACCTCGGCAGCGATTCTTCCGAGGATGAAGACGAGAGCGAAGACGATGAAGTGGAAGAGAAGGAGAAGGAGAAAGCGAGCGGTGATCAGGTGTCGAAAAAGGAGGCCGAGCGCCAACGCATGCGAGCCTTACTCGGCCTCGCACCTGAACCAGTGAAGAAGTCAAAAGATGAACGAAAGGGACCTGTGGGTGACATGCAGGTCACATTTACATCTGGACTCATGAAGGGAGCCGACGAAGGCGGAAAGAAGAAGAAAAAGTCGGTCTTTGAGAACTCGCCTGAACCCGAAGAGACTACGGTTGAGAAGTACATCCGCAAAGAGCGCGAACGGAAACAGAAGCGCAAGGAGAAGATGAAGGGCTCCAAGGGTGTAATGGACGAAGACGAAGACGTCGCAGCTCCCACAAACAAAGATGCTGGTGATGACAAGGCCAATGACGACGATGATCTCGGCTTCGACGATCCCTTCTTCGCCGACGACGCTGTAGCGGAGCCCTCGGCCAAGTCCGAAAAGGCCTCGAGTAATAAAATGCGCAAGGAAGAGCGACTGAAGAAGAGAGCGGAGCGAGAGGCCGAGGAGGAAATCGAACGGAAACAACGGGCGGAACTGGAACTGCTCATGGCCGACGACCTGGGTGGCGGCGGTGGCGGTGACGGCAAAGACAAGCCCAAAATCCGACACTTTGACATGAAGGAGATTGAACGCGCCGAGAAGCAGGCGCGCAAGAAGGGCAAGAAGGCCGCCCACAAGGGGAAGAATGACCAGGGAAATGCGGCCACTGCCAACGACGACTTCAAACTCGACACGTCCGATCCCCGCTTCTCCCGGCTCTTCTCGAGCCACGAGTACGCCATCGACCCGACCAACCCCAGGTTCAAGGGCACAAAGGGCATGAAGGCCCTGCTCGAGGAGGGGAGGAAGAGAAAACACGGCAGGCACGGCGGGGGCGACGGCAGCGTCGAACCGACCGGCGAGACGGCGAGACGGAAAGAGAAAGGTGCCGCCGCAACGGCCGCCTCTTCGTCGCAAGCGGACGTAAAGAGCCTCGTTGAGAAGATCAAGAGGCAGAGTAAAAAGTGAAGAAAAGAAATTACAATACTTGGGCGAATCGTATCGCTAAAAGCCAGAGCAAGCAAGATTTCACAATGCGAGACTTTTGGAAAAAAGGTTGGATGCAAATATGTTAATGATTGTCTGGTGGTTTCTGTTTCGTTTAAATAAATATAGAAGACCACCTCTTGGTGCTGAGTAGCACAGTACACTTGAGGACAAGGAATACTCGAGGGTAATTCTGTGCTTGATCTGAGTTTCTTGATCTTTGTTGGCTTGTTTTCTCGGTTGTGTCTTGACTCTACACACGATTCGATCGGACAAGCAAAAGTGACTCGTATGACATGTGACTTCTGGAGAGGCATACAGTTTTCCTTTCTTTTCTGTTCTCTTCTTCATCTGTGTTTGGGCTTCCCAGCACTGGAGTAGTAGCATACGCAGGTAGCTACGACGCAAAAACATCTGGCTCACTTTGGAATGTTCTTTGGAAAGTCCGGTCGGGACTTGATCGAGTCACTCAACCACCACGACAAGTCCTATCTGAAGGGTGGCATGCCGGCATTGGCTGCACCACCTCTCAAACCGACCCCTCGTCCTCCTGCTTCGCCGTACATTTCCATGAACGCCCGGTTCATTGGCGGCTGTGGTCCTGGTCCTGGTCCTGATCCTGGCCCTGGTATGGGTCCTGGTCCGGGTTCACTTTGGTATCTAGCCGGCTGGCCAGGCATAGATCCGGGGAAGCCAGGTGGTGGACCAGGATTCATGAATCCCGGGGGTGGAAACATTCCAGGCGGAAGATTTGGCATTGCGGGAGCTGTAGATGATTCACCTGGGTATTTACGATGAGGTGGTTGCGGTGGCTGCTGTGGACGTGGCTGTGGCGCTTGCTGTTGGCCTGGCATGGGCTGTAATGGTCCATAGGGAACTCCTGGAATACCTCGAGGGGCACCCGATAACCCCGGCGGGAGTGTTTGTTGACGCACAGGCTGCTGCTGAGGTTGCGGGGGCTGTTGTGGAGGCCAGTTGGGATTTTGTCGGGGCACTTGCTCCAATCCAGGAGGTCTATGAAGACCTGGAGGGAGGTTTTGAGGAGGTGGTTGCATAGGTCTTGCTGGGCCCTGAGTGCGAAGCATAGCAATCAAAGGGTCATCAAGACTAGATTGAGCGCCATTAGTCGCACGTCTCCTTATGTCCTCACGTGGCTGTTGTTCAATCTGATACACAGATATAGGGGGTTCGTCAAACATGGATCGCCCAGTCTCCCGTCTCTGCGGCATGTGTGGTTCTTGCCCCTGAATAGGAGAGACCATTTGATTTCTTGTTGCCGCTCGCATATTAGCATCACTAGGGATGCCATACATCGTTCCAGGTTGCTGGTGAGGATTCGGTGGCGGCTGAGGCTTTGGGGCCTGGCTGGCTTGACGCAAAAGATTCAGCAGAACCTCGTCCTTATTGATACTGGATTGCTGTCGCGTGTGGGTAGGTGGAGCAATGGGAGAATCAGGATCAGGAACTCGTTCGTGGAGTGGAGGCCCCTGGTTCAGGTTGGCATTCTGTTGTTGAGGTGGATTCTGGCCAGTCAAAAGAGATATAAGCGTCTGTGAAGATGGCCTCGATTCCATCTCAGGCTTAGGTTCAGAGCCTCGTGCATACAAGGGGGTTCGGGGCTTTGCCGTCGTTTCCTGGCTTTGAGGTGTGGGGTTGTTGCTACGGGTTTGCAACATTTCAAGGATACGGGCAAATCCAGCCTGATCAGCATCAGACGTAGAATCCGAAAGCTGTGTAGATGAAGGTCTCTCAGCACTCGGCATTGAAGCTGGGGCTTCAACTTGTTTGTTCTGTTCGGTCGGAGGGCTGAAGAGCGAGGCAAACCGTGTCTTCCCATGTACTTTGGCAGGCGCAGCCTGTTGCTCAGTTGGTTTCGATTCGAATCTGGCAAAGAACTTGTCCATGGAGTCGTCTGGTTCGGGTGACGCCATCTTCGGGGCTGATTGTGCTTGCTCTGCAGGTTCAGGTTTGTCTTGCGGCGTCGCGGTTCCAGCCTTCATTTTCTCTTTCCAACGTTGGAAATCTTCCTGTGTACGGGCTTGGAACGGCTCTTCTGGTTCGGCTGTATCCATCCACTCAGGTTCTGCTTCGGCTTTAGGTTGGCGATCCCATTCTCGATCCCTACGATCGCCACGCCGCCAGTCCGGATGTCTATCGTCTCTTACAGTGTCTTCGGTGTCTGCCGTATCCTTTCGAAACCAAGGCTGAGAGAATTTCCCTCGATTTTGGCGGAAGCCTCCACGGGAAAAATCGTCATCGTCTTCTAGACCTTGGTCATTCCTGTCTCTCGCAGCCCATTTCGGTCGGCGGCCTTCGTGTTCCTGATCTTCGCCATCTTTTTGATTGTAGCGACCATTAGTCTGGGTATTGCGACGCTCATAGGTTTTGGTCTCAGACCAATCGCCGTTTTTCTTTCCTGAGTCGTCGTCTTGCAATTTGCCCACAGGGCGAACATTGGAGGAAGCGAAGGAGCGACGTGGAGGGCCCAGGACTATTCTGTCGGGATCTGCAAAATTGAATTAGCTACCATCGCAGTCACTCGAGGTGTCGCGTGCATACCCGTGGTCGATCGACGCTGATGCTCAAGTAGAGCAGATCGCTTTTGAAAAGGTTCATTCTGTATAGCTGATTCGTCTTGTTTTCCCCGGTTAGGAGCCTTCCGAGTCGTAGTATCTTGTGTTCTATGGCTTGTCAGTCATTGTACCGTGGCCACAAGCATTGTTCATTCTAAAAGCATACCCCATCCATTCTTCTATAGGTGGGAGATTTGGTGGTCTGCATATTAACGGTGACGCTCGTAGTTTTAACAGATCTTCAACAGAGTAAATTCCAGACATGTTGGCGACAGATGAGTTGGTGGTGATATGAGCATCGGACGGTAATGCAAGGCGGTTTGAGGTGAGAGTCGGCTGCAGGAAACAAAGAAGGCAAACAGCGCACGGTGCAGGTTCCCGTAGACGTGTTAAAGAAGTGACTTCAAGAGGAGATCGGCTTGCAATAGAGTAGCTAGAGAGAAGGGCTTTGGCAATTCACAGGGCGGCACAGTGTCTGGTTGCGAAACCGTGAAGCGCCTCGCCCTGAATTGTGTCGCCCAGAGAAGTGGGGAGTACGTGTGCGCAAGGTGTGTACCGAGTAAGTTAAGGGATAGAAGCAATATAACAAGATGTGATGTGTATTACTGATTGTTGTAGAAGATTGATTGTGGTGGTGTGTTTAATCAAGTTCGCAGGTCGCAAATCGCAGTTTGGATTTCAGGTCAATTCAATTCAATTTGTGACGTCGGGGAAGTTTCGATCAAGCCAGAATCACGGCACAAGTTACGAGAATTTGGTACTCTCACTCCCTCTATCTGAAAATGAAGTATCACATTCTTTCTGCCTTTGTTCCATTTGAATCAAAAACTTCACACCGGGGATTGCATCCTGGGCCCTCCACCATCCCTCCACCATCCCTCGTACCCAATTCTGTACTGGCGCTGCAATCTGACCAGAACCCACGCCACATCCACAACACCACATTCTGTAACTGAACGCCCTCCGAAAGTGTAACGCGCCTCCAGCATACTGAATATCTTCTCAGATTTCTCACCTGGGATAGAATGTCTCAGGGAATATGCCGCCTGTTGATTCTATGCGCATCAATAAGCAAGCCCGGATCACCCTTTACTAGAATACCTTGACATTTCCTCAACAGAGCTCATCATAGACTGGGGGCAGAGACAGGCTCAAGACTGTGCTGCGCTTTCCTGGGTCAATTTTGTAAATGTCTCAATCAAAGCCGTAAACGCTCGAGAGTCAAGAAACTCGACGACCTCTTTGATCTTGGTTCCATCGTCGGTCGTGGACAGAATGATGAAATATTCATTGTTATACGGTCCAGAGGGTGACTCTCCCTTTCCCAGCATATGCAGCACCACTTTCCGTGCATGTTCATCCACCAGAGGCTCACTATCAAAGGCAAATTTGGGAGGCTTGACCATGAGTTTGCTTCCAGCTCCCATGAATGCCTGATAGCTTTCGTTCGTATGAACTGGTTGCTGGAGATTCTGAGGTAAGATGCGCTGTGTGCAATCTGGAGTGCGCAGAGCAATTACTCCTGCAGCATCTGGACCTGGATCGTTCAGACCATCCAGATATCCTTGTGCGGTTTTGAGGATTTGATCTCGAAGCGGCGACATATTGACTTCTTGACTTCTTTGACTTCAAAGAGGTTGATGAGTGTTGATGGTTGCCTGGTGTGCGTGCTTACGCCGAGCCCTTTTATATTCCAGATACCGCATATAGTTGATTCTTCAGTGGATCCTCAGCTGCTCCCTAGCAGGTTCATTCTTTCAATAATCAGGCGCCCCAAACAATGCCAATAAGTAAGCTGTGCGGACATAACTCGAGAAATCCCATACGCGTACTTGACACCCAGACGAACTTTTGTCAGCGGGTGCATAGATCGATATACATACGGAATACGGGTACATCTCCTCGGCGAACCATCATTCATACATAGATCATACAGTCCTCCACTACAAAGACACCATTACGAAGTACATGGGCAAAATTGGTCTTGACATGGTTGCTAGCAATTAGATACCACTCGGTCAAAAATTGGTGACTATTTCCGTATTGACTGGACATACCAACACCCGCCCACCCCTATATCATTCGCAATAGCCAATGGATACAAACTCATCAACCTCAAATTCCACACCTCTCTTATTCGAAACCTTGGCCCGCCTTGGCGCACTCCCTCTCGATAAGCCGTACATGCTGCTCGCTCCGAGGCGTGATCCGGATCTGGAACGGTGGATGATCATGGGCCAGAGCATCTATTTCCCATACATTGATAGGTTTTCCCGGCACTTCGCTGAAATTAAAACAGTAAAGCAAGCGGCTGAATGCAATGAACATATTGCGAGTACCGAGATGCCAACCAGGACAAATTCGTCTCCCTGCGTGACCCTTAGTCAGACGACATACAGTGTGCAGGCCGACAAGCAGACTTACCAGCTCCAAAGCCCAAATGTCCCTTCAACAGTTCTTGGAGGTCGTTGTTCAGAAATCTTTCGGGCAAGAATTCCTCATTATGCGGGAACTCTTCTTCATCATGGCTAATGGCGAAGTGGTTATAGCTGAAGACCGTTCCTTTCTCGAAAGTGTAACCGCGGTAGGTGTCGTCTTCCATAAGAGCTCTGGGGGTGCCCGATCCAGTCATATTCGGCCTCCATCGGAGACTTTCCTTGATCACAGCCACTATGTATGGCAGTTGATCCCAGTCCTGTATATATCCATGTCAGCGGCAGGAGTGGAAACCAAGATCAAGCAATACCAACCTCAAACGACGGCAACCGCTTAGCTGTACCACAGACCTCATCCAACTGTTTTTGGGCAGTCACTACCCATTCAGGAAACTTGGCTGCAGCCGCGATCATTAAATTGATCTGGTTGCGGCTCGTATCACTTCCCGCTTCGATGATTGATCCGGCTTGCACGCTGTTAGCTCGTGTCCTGTGGAGGAGCGTCATTTTTGCTAATCAGACATACCACAGAAGTACTTTTGAGCATCGTCAAAGCCGTATTTTGTGGCCAAATTCGCCATGTCACGGCCAAAACACTTGGGATCTTGTCCAGCCTTGATACGTCTCTCAAGATCGTCGAAGAATGCTTCATATACTCTGTTCAAATCAGATTAGCCCAGAATATTGTTGGCAGAGGGAAAGGCTATTGCCCCTGCGATATGCTTTGAGCCGATTTCCTTACCCGACAGTCTTCTTGTATATTCTTTCTGCCTCGGGACGAAACCACTGCAATGGACGCGGGATGAGCTTAACCAGCCAAGGAAACTGCTCAACAAGGGCGGTCGACGGTGAGGCTTGTGATCCGATAAAATCTTCAATGGTCGAAAAAAGGATTTGTACATTTTCATCCCTCATGCTAGTGCGCCGGCCAAAGACTCTGGAACATGTCAGTATATGTTGCAAGAGTTAAGCGAGAGTTTCCATACACGGAAAAGATTACTGTCGAGAACTGATTAGCGATTAATGCATGCATTGATCGTGAGACTTACTCGAATTTGCAAATCGACCTCCATGCTCGTAGTACCTGTCTGGGTCTTTGAGGTATTGCCACAGAAGCGCTCTCGACTCAACATCTTGGAATGGTTTGTACGTGTCCGACTTTTATGGCCGTCAGTTTGCAGAATAAAAGAAACCCTTTGATTGTTTGACTCACGTTGCTAGCCATCAGAAGGGAATGCATGATTTTGCGAAGGTTTCGCCATCTCTCGGTATGGGTCATCAAGACAATCCTGTTTCCTCCAGACATGATATCTTGGGTGACAGGGAATTCAGGCCGGCCAATATACAACCGACCACGGCGGTCGAGGAGTTCACGAGTTGCTTCCATGGAATTGAGAAAGACCCATCTTCTCGCACCGAGCTGCACTGTGAATCTGCAACAAAGTCAGGGATCTCGTCGTATCCTTGCAATATGGATGTGCGTACAAATCACCAAACTGCTTTCCCCATTCCATCAACTGAGCCGAAGGGTATTTGGGAGGTAACTGAAACAAATTGCCAAAAACTGGAATTCCTTTTGGTCCTGGAGGGTATTTGTACTTGGACTTGCGTACCCATGTTGAGATTAGAGGTACTGATGCGATTGCAAGTAGAAGGACCACCGCATAGCCAAGGCGAAGGTAGGAGATAGACATTGCTGGAAAGGATGACTATGTAGATAAGGTATCGAAATCAGAATATCTGATGGTGAAAACTACCAACAGCCCGTCGAATGAGTGAAGGAGACTCTCCTTCGCACGCTGATATAGCTTATATCTGAATGTACGAGTATGAATGAGGACAATATTGGTATTGTTATAGCCAAGACCTCCACGCATCCAACCCCAGTATCTGGGGGTAAATAATGAGGATGACCAGCTTCGCCCGAAGTGCTTGTTTCTTCCGTAACGCGTTGTGGGTTGTTTTTTAAGATGTGCAATACGACTCCAACAACTGGCTGTTAATGTGGAATGTGTCCTAGTAGTGATTTATCAATCCACATGACAAACGGAAGTATGTAAACGCGTTTGAGTACTGTCGAGAGAATGTGTCTTTTGGGTTTCCTCGATTACCCCACGTTAAGGGTGTCGTTGAAACGGGATCGGATACTGGTCGATTTGGTGGGGTCAACCATGAGTACCTACTCTGGTATAGGTACCACTCCGATCGATACCCAAAGAATACTGAAGTTGTGCCCAAGGGTCAAAGTTCTGGAAGTCATTTTAAATGTTATATTGCAAAGTATTATTTGAATATCTTGTCGCTGTTGACCTTAATTTGAATCTGAATTGGATTGGTGTCGAGTGATAAACAATGGACGACGCTGATCGATATAACCCGGCCAAATTCGGTCTCTCGACAGTACCACTTGAACATGAACCATACGGACCCATCAAATCAGAGCGCCTCGTGGGTGCCAACAAGGGGAAAGTAGCAGTGGTCACCGGTGCCGGAAGAGGTTGGTTCTCTCTTCCTTTCTCCCCTTTTCCAGGACAACGATTCCCAATGTACCTAGATATGGGGTCCATCTCGCACAAGGTTTGTCACGGCAAGGCTAATCAGCGGAATTCGAGACAGGCATCGGTCGAGCCATATCCATTGCCTTGGCCAATTCGGGAGCGAACCTCGCTCTTCTCGACCTCAGCGTTGATCGGCAACAAGAGACCAAGGCCGCGTGCGAAAAGTTCCAAGGTGTCAAAGTTGAAGCGTACTCGTGTGACATTACGAACGTCCAGGCGGTTAGAGACACGTTCGCGGCCATCACCAACACTCTGGGTCCCGTCGACATTCTCGTCAACAACGCCGGCGTCGCTTACGGCAAGCTCGCATTCCAGGAAACGTTTGAGCAGTTCTGGAAGGCCATCGAGGTCAACTTCAAGGGGTCCATGGCTTGTATTTACGAGGTCCTGCCGGGGATGCGGGAACGCAAGTCCGGCTGCATCATCAGCATGGCGTCGAGGGCGGCGACGGTCGACATGGCCGGTGGGTTGAGCTACAATTCCAGCAAAGCCGCCATAGCGAGGGCCACTTCGACCCTCCAGGAAGAATTCGAGGTCGAAGGTTTCGGGGACAAGTTGCACACTTATTGTTTACATCCAGGTGCCGTCTGGGGTGCTTTGGTGACTGGTAAGTACTTGAGACATGGACCTTCCCCTTGCTTCATAAGCCTGTTTGGCCCTACCTACGGCCTACTCAACCCTGTACGTGAAAGAAAGATGATGCTGACTGACCTACTATCTGATACAATAGAAAACACGACTCCAGAAGTACAGGAACAGATCAAACCTATCTTCAAAGACGTTCCGGAACTCTGCGCCAACACGGTGACGTATCTCGCTTCAGGCCGAGCCAAGGCGTTGCGAGGACATTATTTCGACTGTAGGCATGACATTGAGAGGGTGTGCAGTTTCGGACACGAGACCTTGGAGAAAGAAGGTCTGTACACTTTGGGAGTCAAATTCTTGCCGGGTTATGAGAATGAGCCGTGATCGCTGTTCAAACACGATGGACATGTTCATACACTCGTCTGTACAGACTACTCCGTACAAAATACTATAGGACGTATGAAGCCTTTCTCAGATACATTTGATACACTGTGGATGAGTACTCTGCGAGGCAATAATTCTAGTCCCTCGTTGCCACACTACCAAGTTCTCCCATTGTCTCGAAATGTTCAACTAATCGCTCACTGCCACCGGCTTGACCTCCGCACTTATCGGCGCCTTGATATCTGATGTTGCCGATCCGCTGGTGTTGGGTTGCTTGTACTCTTGCGTAAAGTCGTGCATGATGTTATTGATACCCTGGATTGAGACAAGTAGCACCATAACAGTCAGTCCTTTGATTCTAGTGTAGACGGTAGGTTTCGGAACCAGCAGCGCGAGTAAGGACTTACCGAAACCATCTTTGCAACTGCATCTGGATCTTGCATCGTGTCCATGTTTTGGAATAGAGGATCTTCCTTCAATGCGACGTCTGGATCTTGTAGTAAATGTTTCAAATTTTGAGTGGACACTGGGTCGATGATCTCCTTGTACATCTTCCTTCTGACTTCACTGTACCGGTCTAGGATACTATCATCCGCCAAACCTTGGTGGACGCCGTTGAGACAGTCGAATAGATTGCCGACATCCACGAGACCTCCC